CAGATGTTTGTCTTACCCATTTAAGAGGCCAAAATGATACACATAAACGTTTTGTGGAGAAACACTTAATATAAACTTTTGAAACTTTTATAAATCTTTGATAATTTTGTTACAATCTTATCATTTACGTTTCAGTGAGATTTTTTCAAGGAAAAAATAAGTAATCAGACAACTATTTCTTCAATTTCTGAACTGACATTTAATATAATAAATAATAAATAATAAATAACATATTATAACACTGGCAAGGCCCTGATCTTCATCAATAATTGCTTAAAATAGTGTGTCTGAGTTTGATGTCTCAGACCCTTATTTACATAAATGAAACTGAAATAAACATATGTGGGAGGATGCTAGTCTGCTGCAGCATGACTTTTCATTTGTATTAATTCATTTAGCTGGGAATAAAAGGACATGGCTTTCTTTAAAAGATAAATGTTTTTTGGAACAAAGCTCAACTTTCCTCCGTACCCAAATCTCTAAAAACGGGGGTACAACGGAGCTGATCCAGATTTGCGGCCGATATGACGTAATACGGCGGCGGACCCACAGCACTATCAGTAATGTTGCTATCAGAAACAATGCCCGACTGTTTTGGACGTAATATGGTCGGTGTTTACATTAGCATCATTTACATTAGTTACTCAGAGCTAACCTGTACTGGAGAGATCATGTGTGTGAAGAAGCAGGAAATAAAAAGGAACTCACCTTGTGGTATAACCGGCAAGAGAGAAGCCTTTGAGCTCCATACTGGCCGTTTCTCAATGTCGAGTAAAGCTGCTGCAGAGCCACTATTTCAAGTATACTACGTCATCGAGTGGCGTCGAAGGATTGTTTAAATGCCCAGCATTCGGCGCCACTCGATGACGTAGTATATTTGAAATAATAATCCTTGCTTTCATCACCGCAGCATTTTAGACAGTATCTGCCAGGTCCCGTATGAGCTGGCATAAGCTCCGCCCCCTCTTATTTTTATTTTGTTTCAGTTTAAAAAAAAAAAAAAAGCTTTATTTATTTTTTTAGCCTTTATTTATACAGGTGGAAATCTCATTGAGACACAAGGTCTCATTCTCAAGAGAGAGCTATTTATACCCAGAATCAGCACTGTTGTAACAGGAAGAGAAATAGAGGGATATGAGGCATGGCTAGAATGGGTGATCTGTTTTGTTTTTTACCAAAACACTTCATAGACATGTTTTTTATATTTTTTTATATATCTGAGACCTATGCTATTGCCTAAAAATATCATGATAGGTGACCTTTAAAATACTGCTAAAGGTCACAGAAGAGCAAAAGGATGTTTGCAGTTTTCCATATACAGAAAAAAGGGAGGTAGAGAAAGAGGGAGAAAAGGTTGCCATAAACAGGCTGAAAGATACAGTATGATAAATAGAAGAGGAAAACTCATGAAAACTAGGTACAATCAAACCACCTTATAATTTTCCCTACATAGAATATAGCTGCATGGTGAGACAGCACATATAGAGGAGATAAAGAAAGTCGAGTGTGAGGAAACAAGCTGACAGTACGTAAAAGATAAAAGATGGAGGACGGTAAATGTGAGGGGGAACGGAAACTAGGGCACAGGCAGGAGGAAACAGCACTCTGGTGTTCTCTAAAGTTGAGCCATCAAAACCCTTAAATCCCAAATGCTGCCTGCCAGGACTCATCCTGCCTGGTCCCCCCTGTACCATTGAACCTTTAAGAGATCCACACCTCTATATCCGTCCGTCTCTCACTCTATGTTCACTGTTCAAATCCTCTCTGCTTCTCCTCTCTTTTTTCAACCCCTTTTCGTGCTGTGAGGTGGCAGAAGAGGAAAGCGCTGCATTCATTTAGTATTTTCCTAACCCAATGCTGCCGACCCTTCCTCTAGAAGCTGCAGTTATGACTAGGGTTGGGAACTGAAACTCGGTTCCAGATGAGAACCGATAAGAAAATGCTGGGTACCGGGTAGCCATACAAAATACACAATTTTGGTTCTGCTTAACGGTTCCTAAACGCGGTAGACCCTGTATTCCACCGGGTCCGTCTGCGCCGCGGCGCCGCGGTGACCCGGTGGAATACAGGGGCGGACTGGCCATCTGTGTTCTGGAGAATCACTGAACGGCCGGTCGTCAGCGGGCCGTTGACGGCCGACTCGGTTCGCTGACGGCCGGCACCGTCCTTAATTTGTTTAAACGGCATCATGTAAGTTGCGCTGACAGGCGACAGAGGTCCACAGTTGCCCCGCAGCGAGGCTCCCCCCGCCCTCCCGTAGACATTTCACGAGCTCATTCACTTCATAACACCAAAGATGGATCACGGTAAACGCTCTAAAGTGAGGCTCCACTACACTAAAAAAGAAAAAGACAAGGCACAGTGTAATGCCTGTGGCAAGTTAATAGCTTGCCACAGGCATTGCTCAGTTAAAATAAAGCACAGCTATTGTGCAATACATTTGTATTGCATGTCTTTTTTTTATTTGTAAAAATGTCATTAAAGCTTAAAAGAATAAAGATATTTTTGTGATCTAAACGTTTGACCTCTTTCTTTTATAATTTTGGAATCGAAACGGGGAATCGATAAGAACCGGAATCGATAAGCAGAACCGGAATCGGAATCGATACATTTCAGACGATACCCATCCCTAGTTATGACTGGCGGAGGTGTCTAGATTTCCCTGCACCACCCTCCCTCTGTGCTCTTCTACTTTTAAATGTTGCCTCCCTAAAGCTGGGATCAGATTTTTGTTGATTATAGTCTTTTTATGTTGATGTTTCAAACTGTTTGTCTCTGTTGAAAAATGTTAACAGACTCAGAAAAACATTCTTCATTTTTCTAATGAAGAGTCTGTTTCTATACCTCATTGCACTGCTTTCACTTATAGAGGAAGAACAATATGAATCACCAGGAATGTATTTTCCTTTCCCTTGATGCTCCACTCATTCATGGCAGTGTTCATAACAGTTTCCTAACTTCAGAACTAATACCTACAGTCTGTGAACTCAATGGACTGTGTTCACCTTATAAGTTGATGTGGCTAACTCATAAGCTAACAGTGGCTAACTTAACCGCTAAATAAGCTGTTTTAGAGGAGCATTATAATTTATTAATAGTCAATTTCTGTCAATGAGACCAATAACAGTCAAACTTTCACTATGACCTTTGCTCTTTGTCTTTGCTAACACCTAGGAAAAAATGGCTGCTAGCTGCTAAATGCTAGGTGCTCACCATTTATCCAGTGGTTGGTTTGTAAGCTGAGTAGCATAGCCTACAGTGTGTTTTAAAGATATTTTTTGCTTGAAGCTGCAAAATAACAAAACCATGAGAGAAATTACAGTGAACTAAAACTGTAAAGTTGAGGGGAGCAAAGCCAAAACAACAAGCTAAAAGATGCTTTAAAATTCCTTTAAGCTAACGTGAACTTTTAATTATTATACTGTCTGGGGTTGTGTGCCAACATTTAACATACAATAGTCATGTTGCATGACATATTAATGTGGACATATTTATTAGAGCAGCTCTAAATAAAAATATCATTCATACTTACATTTTAAATCACGTGTTTCCAAATAGATAAACTAAACTGAAGATTACATATATATTTATGGCTAACTAAAATCTGTTTTTCTTTATGGTTTGCAACATTATATTTTATGGATAAGTCCCTGCCTTCATTTCCAAGTGTGAATCCATTCAGCTGCTTTGCTTAAAAAATAAAGTTTGTGCTTAGTCATCATCACAAGGATAAGTTTGAATGGACACATGGTGACTTGAAAAAAACTACGAGCCAGGATGACGAAGCAACATTGCGTGTTGCACTCACCACAATGCAGCACAACTTGGACATCCTCTACACATCATAAGACAACAAACTGTGTGTGGAAATAGTTTCAACATCATTTCACAACATCCTAAGGGTAACTGTTTATCATGTGCAGTTTGAAAAACCACCAGAACTGCTTCACCATGTCAAAAGTCAAACACATCTGAGGTTGGGTCGGTTGCCAAGAACAATAAAGGCTTGTTAATCACATACTAAAGCGTCAAAGAAATGTAAGAAAATGTTTGAAGTATGCTTTTCTGATTTATTGTATTACCCTAATAGAATATTGACGAATGTATATTTCCTTTTGGTGAATCCTTAGAAACTTTAGTCTATCTTTTATGTTATAGGAATCAGTCCTATTGCCACGTAAACTATGGGAATCCTTCACAGTACAACATTTTTCATGATAGAAAAAGGAAAATGTTTACGTATCGATCCATTACTTTTTAAAGCAGGAAATGTTGGATCATCAATCAAATATGGAGGTGTGTGGCGCAGTGGTCTAGTGCGTTGGTGTTTGGATCAGAGGAGCACAGGTTCAAACCCCACTGCAGTCAGCATGTCGTTGTGTCCCTGGGCAAGACACTTCACCCCAAATTGCTCCTGTGGGGATTGTCCACAGTATTGAGTATGTAAGTCGCTTTGGATAAAAGCGTCTAACATGTAACATGTAATGTAATGTAAAAACATTATTAAAAAGGGGCTGAAACTACATAATTGGGACTAACGGAATGCACCGAAGGCAGCCCATTGTAATGTTCACTGTTAGTCTGCATTATGTTATTGCTCATATATGATTATAAAAGCTTCCAACCAGAGGCAAACAACACATTTCCGAGAAACTCTTGTGATTTTCCACCACTTTTTGGGCATGAAATGTCTCTGCTGTTAACTTGTTGTGTCAAAAAATGCATTGAATTGCTTCATCAAAATAACTGAGAAACCAACATTGCTTCTTTGTTTTACAGAAAGAAACAAGGCGCCAAATCAAATTTTTGGAAAAACATTGTAAGAGAGGGGTTTTGTAAACTACACATTTGCACCGTACCTAGATAGACGTTTATATGACAAAATATCCTCTTAGTAAATAGGGAAGTGAGAGGTAAACTGCAACAGTCAGTCTGGATAGCATAAACACAGTTAACAAGCACTGTTGAAAACATATAAAGGAGTATTTTAGGTTGCTTACTGAAAGCTGCCACAGCCATTATGAGCGTGACCACGATGGAGACCCAGGAGACCCAGAGGGCCTTCTTCCTGTAGCTCTGAGCTTCGTGGGGCTTCAGCCGCATGCTGCTCTCGAGAAGACCTGCAATAAAAAACACAAACTCTGTTACAATTCTTTCTTTCTTTGTCTTTGTTTTTTGTAATGGCCATTTATGTTTTATTGCAATATCATATCAGGCATCAGAGGTTGCATAAATGGTCATTTGACCTTTTCCAAAACTTATATTGGATAGGAATAAGATTCTCATAAAACTTAAATCAGTACTTTGAATGAACAATCTACTGGTATGGATGAAATAAGAATGTTTGTTATGTTATTATATTATGGACGTGAATTAAATGTTGGATTTTGTTTTCGCAAAGAACACTAACACCGGTCTTCTGACTGAAAGTCCTGTTCTGTGTCTACCCAGCCAACCAACCCATGTTTTTCCATAGGGTCATTTCCACCCTTTTTTCATTGGAACAGTTCCACAACAATGGTGTATTTTTTCGTCTGAATATAAAGACAAAGCATTTACTAGACTCCTGGTACTAGGATGGGTTAAAAGCAGAGGCCAAATGTCACTGTGTGTGCTGTGTGCTCTGCATGTGTGACCATTAAAGAGGGTTTCATCCCCCCGATTCTATCTATAACATGCCAGACAAAATTATGAGGCAAAAGGGTAATTCATACTATGAGTCCAAGTGTCCACGAGGCTCCGCTATGGTCTTTGTGACTCAAATTACATCATGCGCTGTGTCCGCGCAAGTCATTTTCATGCAGTCCAACATTTTATACCACGATGTCTTCAAGCGCTGCACAACAAGGTTCAACACGGATGAGGTGTCATTGCAGTGGGAGAGGAATTATTCAAGAGAGAGCACAAACACTTCCTCCGGGAAGTAGGACTTTGCCTTTTAAATGCTACCTTCTTTTTAAAACCCAAAATTCTAAAATCTCATTGACCATGGCTGAAAGTTCCACTTTCTGTAGTCAATGTAACACAAAACTGCATCATTTGTCTAATGAATATTTAATTGTAAATAGATGTTCATGTGCCACATCACCTCTGCAGGGTTATAGAAGGTTAAAGGAGGGCTACCGTGTTTTAGTATTAGGCTTTTCATACATTTAGCAAAAGACAGACATTAAATAATAGCGGGAAAAAAGCAGCTGGTAGAGATATTATGACATTTAGTAATTAGTGTAGATCAAGCTCCTAAAATGCTACATTATATGTTAGATGTCCTGTGATGCAATTAACTGCATATTTTAGTTTGGCCCTTCCTGTCTGGTACAAGCACGCATCTCTGATACCCCACAAATCCAGTTTGTTATGCAGGCTCTCTGTTTAGAGACTTTACTGTGAAATTATATTTTCTCAGACTATACAAAGCTCCTCCTGACACACAGAGGACGTTATACAACTACCCCTGAGTCATCATGACTTGACAATTGACCTTTATTGTCTGCGTAAAATCTGTTGAGTTCCCTTTTTTTTTTTTAAATCAGCCTTGGTTTCAATGATTATCCTTTTTCTTGTAGAAAAGCTTGATGCTGGGGCACTTAAGTACATTTTGTATCTCTCCACTTTGTTCCCCCCAGAAAAAATTGTGTGGCCCAAATTAGAAAAAGGCCCTTTTGACAAATGTATCATGAGACAACCACTGTACCACACATTTATTTGATTGTCTTTTGTATCTTTGCATTTCTTTGGGATGGAAATGTCCCCATGCACACAGCCCTGTTAACTGCCACTGCTTAGTATACAATGTGTTTTTCGATCTGCTTTGCTTAAAGCAGCAAAAGAAAGACACTGTAGGAGCCATGAGAGTGAACCAATGCAGTAAAGTTGAGGGGAACAAAGCCAAAGATATGAGCAAGAAGATGCTATAAAACTCCATTAAGCTAACGTGAACTTTCGAGTCGGGCGAAAATTCTGTGTGGGTTTGTCCTCCAACTTTTTTTAAACCGATCTTGTATCTTATGTGAGAAAATGACCATTTCACATTGGTATCATGGTACAGCAAGGGTATCATTTATACTTAAATTCATTAGAAAAAACTGTATTTTTTTTTTTTCATGTCTCTAGAATGGCAAGTTCCCCCTGCAAATATCCATTCTTACTCCCACTGCTTGTCTAGTGTGAGTGTAGACAGAAGGAGACGTTGCAGAGACAGTGTCCACAGGGAGTTGGTGCTACTAGGATGACATCTCTCACCAGCTTCCCACCATTGAACACTGCCAACTGCTTTTGACGGACAGCCAGACACTTCACTCCAAGCAATGTACTTTTGCAACTGACATTAGTTAATTACAAGAGTAATGTATCTTTCACTTTTGGTAGCTCAAAGTGCATACATTAAGGTTAAAAGGCATGTGCCTGGGGCCACTTAAGTTTTGATAATGCATCTGTTATACTTTAAAATATACTTTTTGCTATCAAAATGTGTCAAATGGGAGGCAGAGAAAGCCCTTAAATATATTTGGTTCAGATATATTTCAATACCTTTGTATATTTAATTACCCTTAATGCAGGGTTTATGTAAGATGTATGGTTATATGGATATTTCTCACAGCTTTCATTTTGAGCATTCAGTATTCACACATGCAAGTTTTGTTGTCACAAGAGGAGTACATAAAACACAAAGCTTTGATTATCAACATCCCTAGGGCACAATCACATTTACCCCCTGACCATCATCATCTAGCTGTGTGAAATCATTTTATCTGGCCATAATTGATTACTTTGATGATAGAAATGCAAAAGAAATCACATGGCTTTTGTGTAGAAGAAGCTAACAAAAAGTGTCACAATGCAAATGTGCGTGTGTGTGTGTCAGAGTGAAGACTCGTGTAAATGATTTGAATGACTAGTGTTACACTAAAGGCATGAAAGGCCAGCTAAACGTGTGTAGCTTGTTAGACCCATTGGCTGTGACAGGCTAACTGATTGCAAGACATATTTAAAAAAAAAAATCTTATAGCCTCTGACTGACCTGCTTTGATAACTCCTTGATAAGGAGTGACTCTGGAGAAAACCATTGTTTCCAGAACAGAAATTGCCAGATCACAAGTAAAGCTTACATAAATGGAATATTCCCAAAAGGTTTGTTCAAAATCATAATTGATTGTACTAGACAAATGATGACCTTTTTGTGTTTAGCTGAGAAAAGGCCGATAATTAAACTGCATATGGAGCTACTTTGAAACCTTTAAAAATGAAAAATGATAATGTGGTGTCTGGGTTTTAAACTTAAAAACAGAAACACGACTGTTGTTCAAAAGCCTTTTAGCGAGACCGGCTAACAAGCATGTGGGTGTGTGTCTGATGTGTGACTGAGGGAGTGAGGCAGCATGGTTAAATCCCTTTGCTCACATGATCCCAGGCTGGGGGATCAGACAGAAGGCATGTGCTCAACATCTTCTCATGCACTGTGGAGAGGCAGAGGAGCATGAATTCTTTCACAGATTATCTGTCTCGAGCTTTTACAGTAAGGATTTAGTGTCAGTTCTGGCAAATATGACAAAAAAAAGTAGTTATTATAATAAAGTAGCAGATTTAGTGGGAAATATAGGTTCAAGTTTTTGGAGATTCGAGCCAAACAGTTCTTCTTTTATCCTTCATTCTGTATCTCTTGCTAGTGTAGATACAAGGTGGATACTGTCCGTTGATATAAAATACATCCAATAAAATAACTCTACCTATTCTAAATTAAATAACTATTTCTTTGTTTTATTGACTCCACGTCTGCTTAATTATATTAGCATCAAAACTACTGAGTTAAATTAACATTTCAAATATCCATTGAAATCAGATCCATAATAACTGAATGCATACATAAACCAATTAGCTTATAACTGAGGCCCTGTTATTATCACGTGTGGAATGTTTTTCAGAGGTTTTTCTTCATGTTAGAAGATGAATGGGATTAAATTAGTGGAAAAGTAACTAACACACACAAATACACATCAAGCACACTTCGGGGTTTGGCATGCATGTGACTGGTATCAGAATAGCTTTGGCTGACCACCAATGTGCATGTTTAAAAAAAACAATCTGACTTTTCCCCAGAGGCAAGGACAAATGAAAAAAAGAATGGAAAGCTTTTGGGATTGGATTCAATGTATCAATATGTTGAGCTTTGAATTCAACTTTCGCTTCACTCTGATCTGCTGATGTAGGACTGTTGTAAATTATTTAAAAGACAGCAGGCTAAAAATACCTCACATGGATAAAAATACCCCTCCCATCTCCCTAGGGTAGGCTACCCTTTAACACTTCATAGACTATATGCATCCATAACTTTAAAAAAAATCCAATTAATGGATGAAGTTACCTTCTCCCTCCACACTGTCTGTGATTTTCATCTCCTGGCCCGTGGGGAGCGTCTCGGGCTGGCCGGGGCTCTTGGTAGGCTGGTGGTGGTTGTTGGTGAAGCCATCCTGGGCGCACTGGCCGTTCCGCATCGCAGCCGTAAAGGGATCCACAATAGTCGGGTCTGGGACAGGGTAGGTTTCCTGGGGGGCCGGGTCCGTCATTGTTGTTGCTGTTCGTTTTGTTTGCAGACTCAAAGAAAGGATGATGAGGAAGAGATTCACGCCGGTGTAAGTGCAGAAGCCATCCAGCGTGTCCTAATAAAGCCCGGTGTAGACTCAGCTGCTGCGCAGAGGGGTGGGATGGCGATTCGAGATGGGAGATAAAGGGTTGGTCTCCCCAGCATCAGCAGCGAGACAACTCCCTCTCTATGGAAAGTGAACCCTGCAAAGTGCAGCCTCTGTGGAAACCGCCAGTTAGACACAGTTTAGGGTTAGATGCGGCGATGCGATAAATGCTGAGATCTGCTGTGGATATGGCAGACGGTGCCAGCAAGTTTTTTTTTTTTTTGTATCTCTCTCCACCCCTTTCCTCCTTCTCTCCTCTCAGAACTCACCACCTATTTCTCATACAGGCCACTCTATGACAGTTGTGGAAGAAGTATACAGCTCTTTTACCTAAGCAACATTGTGAAAATACAAGTAAAACTCCTATTCAAAATCGTACTTAATAGTAAAAGTACAAGAGTTTTTTGGTATCACAATACACTTGAACCAACAGGGAAATAACTATTTGTACATAATGGCACATTTCATAATAACATTTATTTAATCTCATTTATCTAAACCTGTAAAGTAAAGTTGTCAATTAAATATAGTGGAGTAAAAGTTAAAGATATTGGCTTCCAAATGTAGTGAAGTAGATGTACAAAACTAGCAGAACATCTAAATACTCAGGTTAAAGGTAGGGTAGGTAAGAATGGAGAAACCAGCTCGAGTGCGCTAGAATTTGAAAGTACACAACCGAGCCCCTCCTCCAAGACACACGAACGCGCACATGACCAATGAGGGCACGAGATAAGTTTGTGCACGAGATGGAAGGCTGACAGGCAGGTAGGCCATCCAGTTATTTTAGCCGGGCCGGCTCAGATGATTGGTCGTGCTTTTTACAGCACCAAGGCTTCCACAGATGACATTTGTTTATGTATTTATTGTCAAAGCATTTAATGTATTCATTGCAATCGTGATGTTAAGAGCATTCCATGGAATATAACAAAAAGTGTTTCTGAAGTAAATTACCTACCCCACCTTTAAGTACCCTACAAGTAGGCTACCTCAAAAGTTAACTAGCTACAGTATTTGAGTAAATGTACTGTGTTACATTCTACCATTGTGTGTGTGTGGAGCATACACAACAAAGCAAAAATATAAATTATAAAAGCACCAACAATTGAACTTTTATGAAAACTATTTAAAAAAAAATACTGTTATAACATTAAATATATTGACAAATATGTACACAAAATAAAGACATACAAAACATCTACGTACAGTACAACATGACAAAATTAAAAGTGTGCAGTATTGGGATTTAAAGTGAAGAGCTGAGCAGATATTACAAGAGGTAGCTTTGTACCCAAATATGCAAAATATACAGTGTTATGTGAGGAATTCAAAAACTTAAAATAATGTTTATGAAAAACACCTTATAGGATTAGAAAACATTTACTTAGATACAAAATACTTTATAGTGCTCCTTGTGGTTTCTGAGGTACAGCCATGTTCTTGTCATACTATACGTATGAGTATAGAGTCGTTTTTTTCCTGAAAAAGAAAGAAATATAGAAAAAAAGAGTAGTCCCAAGGGCCCAAAATCTAATTATGGTATAGAGGAAAAAGTCCAATTTCAACAAAACAGTTTCACAGTTTTTGAAGATCCTAGAGAACACTCCCACCAAAAGGAAATTCCAAATTTCAATTGCTGGAACAAATGGGTTAATGGAATTAGAGATAAGTGGTTTAGTTTATTTACGTGCCAGTGGTTTTGCTCTCTAATCCGAGAATCAATTAATTGACCTATGGTAAATCCAATTATCAGCATGCAAATCAATTATGTTCTCACCTGCCTGCAAGCTGTCAGGATGAACAATAAGAAACAACTACTGACCAACAGGTGGCACCAAAACACGCAATTATCAGAAGGTGAGGATGTGAACTCAGGATAAAAATAATTTCTGTAAAATATAAATGAGATTGACACCGATTTGCTCCGATTTGCTCTACAGTCAATAACAAACAGCCTATAGTCAAAAGGCATAATGATAATGTACGAACATCATCTTTACCCTTAAATGGTTTCTATCCTGGGGGGGGGGGGACATTTTAACATGCTGTGTCCATGTCAAGCATTAAGCTTTGTAGAATGAACATTTAGTACATTTACTCAAGTACCATTATATTTTGACAAAATACAACACTAAAATGCTCTGACATTTGTTGGTGTAACAGCATAGTTAAATATTTTGCATATTGACTTTTACTTTAATTTACCTGATTATATACTTCTGTAATTCTACTTCAGTAACATTTAGAATTTAGGAATTTTACTTGTAATGGAGAATAAAACAAAATTGGTTATTTTCAATTGTAGATCTTCTACCACCGGTAGGACAGTTTCATACTTAAAACTTAAAGAGGGATGTCACCTAATAAAAACTAACCTAAAACAATATGTTTTTCAGCCGAAGTTGAAAAAATGTCCACTGATTTTGCCTCTCTACTATTTTCTGATAGTGTGTTCAAGAGCTTCACCCATTTAATTATTAATTTTGTTAAGGTATGCGAGTATTTGAAGTTGAATACTAAATGGTTCAGTATGTCAACTATTTACAATGTTAAACAGCCTTCACTGACTACTGATTACTTTCTGCTTGTTTTACAGACTAGGTAATAAATGACCAGGGTGTCCCAGCAGCAGCCATTCACCTGCCGGTCATTGGTTTCTGTCTGAGGGTGCAAAGCTAATTTGCTGGATTCTCAATCAGTTACTGCAGGAAATCTTTTGCAGCAGACCTCCACTTTTCCCAGAAGATGAAGATTGATATTCATAATCATATTTTACCAAAGGAGTGGCCGGATTTGAAGCAGGTAGGCACTGAAAGACTATGTAGTTCACATCTTTGCATCAGTTCCGCAGCGGGCAGAGCTATAATTCAATGCAATTCAAAAGCAGTAAAGTCAAATGTACAGGCTTGTTTCTCCATTTGGAGTGTCAGCAGGGAGTTTAACAGCTCACTCCATAAATCAGTGTTCTCTATGGATGGTTCAACTTTAATCAATAGGTGGCGATTGGCCTTGCTCTTGCCTGTCCTATCTGTTATCTGTGTCTGCTCTTATGTCTTTGTTACTATGGAGGCCTCTGGCTTTGGCTAATGATTTCCCATGTTTAGTGCTGGACAGAAGACATATTCTGCACACTGGTGCATTAACCCCAACCCTTATTTATTTATTTCTTTACAGTAGTATGTAAATGTATAATAAAGGATGCCTGTTTGTACATGTTAATGTTTTTCTAAATATGAATAATATATCCTACTTAAAAAAATAAAAAATAAAATCCTTTCCATAGTCATTCACAGACCAATACTTTTACAGTAAATCTAAATAGTGACATTGCTTATTTGAGTTGTCAGTATTGACACCAGAGAGGTCTGACAATAATATCAATAGACTGAAATATAATTGTTTTAAACAATTATATTTCTGAAAAGTAAAATAGTGGTTAAATACAAAGGATATGCTTTAGTTTTTAAGGCAGAAATATCCCTTCCTAATCTTAAACAATTTGAGGGTTTACCCCGCTGCAGAGTTCCTTTTTGTATTTCCTGCTTTTTTACACATACTATCTCCAGTACAGGTTAGCTCTGAGTGTTAGCGATGCTTGCTAATGTAAACAAAGACCATATTAGGTCCAAAACCCATCGCGCATTGTTTCTGATAGCGACGTTTCTGATAGTGCCGTGGGTCCACATTTCCGATATTACGTCATTGTTTGTTTGTTTGTAGCCTTTATTTAACCAGGTGAAAAATCCCATTGAGATCAACGATCTCTTTTTCAAGGGTCATATCGGACGCAAATCTGGATCAGGGAGGAAAAGAGAGAGGGTTTTGTTTTCTGACACTTTGTGAGTTCCCTGACACAGCGGGTACACATATTTATGTATAAAAGACATACAAAAGTGCATTTTGCATGATAGGAGACCTTTAAAAACGGCATGGTTACTCAGGACCCCAAACAGCACATTAGTATTAACTCACTATCCTCTTCACTGTGAACTGGCATTCAGGAATTCCATTAAAAGTCAACAAAAAACTACTTGAAGACGGATTGAAAGCCATCTCTCATTTTGAATAGCCGAGGCTTCTCTCTGGCAGCAACAAAGTCCACAGTGCTGCAGATCCGTGCAAATATGAGATTGGGCTTTATGGCTGTTTTGCTCAAGTCGATCATTTGCGGCTTCATCTGTATTCAAGAAACAGCCTCAGATGGCACTCACTGTGAGTTATCTGCGCTGTTGAAGAAGATAGTCTGGATGAAGATCGAACTCTCGCAGATGGGATAACTCAATCAATGGAGGCTTTCCAACTGAAGGATTCACAGGGGATACCAGACTATGTTCAACTTTATATACAAACATTATATCTTCTATCTATCTATCTATCTGAAAACACAATATTTGTAATCTAATGCATGGACTAATGTTGTTTTCAGCCCCAACATTATTAGGGAGAGACACTACTAGTACATTTTGAGATTTTTGGCTCCTTTTAGACTAAAAAGAGAAGAAAATGAAGGTGTTCCATTTATTACGCTTTATCAATTTGTCTGTATATTTGTGTCTGAGCATTAGATATTGCTTCATTTGCATATTTAGGCATAACATTTCAGACAACTTATTTTCCAAAAAAACTATTGGGACGTTTCTGTCTTGGTGAAGGTAATCACCTGGGGATGTTTCATATGTATATAAGTGAGATTTTTGACTGAATTTGAACCTGGATTTTTTTCCAAGGTTGAGATTTCTGTACATTGGAAAAATCTGTGCATATATTTATGCAGATTAGCACATATTCATATATTATATTAGTTACATTTTTCAACCTTATTCACTTGTAGTGCCTAATAATGCATAATCATTATGTTCCCTTTGTTTCAGAGGTATGGATATGGTGGATTTGTGCAGCTCCACCATCACTGCAAGGTGAGTCAGTTTGTCTTTTGTTTGCATGTACTGACAGGGTGCAGGAACTATGATGCAATTGTACTGCATACAATGCCGGGGACACGGACACAGCAGGTGTCTCCCGGCTGCGCCACAACCCTGAGGACCTTTCAGCCCACCTCTCTATGTGAGCAGCTGCACGTGCAGCACAGTGCCACTGTATCACTTCAAACAGGACCATGACACAGCAAAACACAGAGCAGCCTGCAACTTTTACATAGGACTTTGGTTTGGCATCAGCAGGTTGCACATAAGGACGGATAGTTGATTGTGTCACGTTGATGCACTCAAACATAAGATGAGCATCTGTTTAAATCCTGATGCCAATGTTAAAACAGGACTCCAGGTGACATTGTAGTTGTGACAGGTGGCGATGCACCCAAGGTGTTTAATCACAGCCAACAATAGGGGAAGAAAACACTGTGCAGATGTTGTTTGTATATCTACAGTTAATTATGTGCACCCCTTTACATAGACATTTCGTCTGTTGTCCTTGAAAGATTGCATCTCATATCTACCATGAAACAGCACTACGTCGCCATCATGTGGTTGGATATAGATGTGTTATTATATCTAAATATCACATGATCTAAAGAGTTTGAAAATTGATATTTAATTAAGTGAAATAACCAAGAAGAATACATCTGCAAGGGTGATCAGACTCTAATAAGGACAATCTTTTAATTATAGACATATAAATACTTATAATATAAGTTATTATATATATAATAACTTCTGAACACCTGGCCTCTAGAGGGAAAAGGCACAGGGAACATATACAGCCAAAACAGTCCTAAGAACTTAAATACATATTTTTACATTTGTCCCTAATTGTCCTCTGTAAAAAGATGGATATGACCCGTGGTGAAAAGTAACCTAGTATTTACTCCAGTACTGTATTTAAGTACAATTCTGAGGATCCTTTGGCTTGAATATTTGCATTTTAAGCTACCTTAAACTTCTACACCACTACAATATGTAAGCATATTTTGTACATTTTAGTTTATTTGACATTCGTTATATTGAAGAGTTTATGATATTGAATACAAAATATAGATAAACTGAAGAATTGGGATGTACTATATTGGATAAGATACACTTTTTCTTCTGTGAAAATCACCTGGAAATATAAATTATAAGTAAGCTCCACCTTTAATAAATACATTAATAAAGGGAACACAATAATGGGTTAAAACAATGTATTATTCCCAAAATGACCATGCTGCACAATGAGTTTTAGTTTTAGTACTAGAATATTAATGCAAACACTTTAGTATTTTTACTTGAGTAAAAGTTACATACTGTAAGTAAAAATATGGATATTCTATGAATATACTGCAGTATTATTTCTTCATCCATGGATATGACTGCTGGTTATGTCGTGTTTCAGGGTGAAGCGGACATGATGAAGGATGGGAAGCTGTTCAGGGTAATTCAAGAGAACTGCTGGGATGCAGACGCACGCATAAGGGACATGGATGAACATGGTATATATTTTCCTAAGACATGAAATACTTGACGACAATTTATATTTATGATGCCTAAATTTGCTTCTGTTTCTGACCCCTTCAGGTGTCTCAGTCCAAGCCCTTTCTACTGTCCCTGTGATGTTCAGTTACTGGGTAAGCGCACAAAAACAATGCAGCAACTGTGTTTTATGTCTGTTTATTTTGGTAAAACCTAAATCATAGTGCTGTTTGCTGTTCCCCAAATAACTGTGAGCTGTAGTTATGCAATGCTGTTCAAACAGCAAATCAAATTCTAGGCATTTTATACGAGTGCGCAAAGCTTCTTAACTCTTTTTCAGTCACAGAAGCATTTGAACAATGCACCTCCAGCTTTCAAATATCTTATTTAAATTAAAGTCTTATTTTCGGATTACAGGCCAAACCTCATGACACACTGGATCTCTGCGTCCTTCTAAATGACGACTTGGCCCAGACAGTACGCAGCCACCCCACCAGGTTCGTGGGCCTGGGCACTCTGCCAATGCAAGCCCCTGACTTGGCGGTTCTGGAGATGAGGCGTTGCGTGAAGGAGCTGGGCTTCCCTGGGGTCCAGATTGGCTCACATATCAACAACTGGGATCTCAACGCCACTGAACTCCATCCTTTCTATGCTGTGAGACATTGAACATGGCAGACCATGCTTGTATAATTACATTCCTGGTGTTAGTTCCCCTATGTTTACACTGGGTTGACTAATTTCAAACTGAATTGCATGGAAATCCTTTGTATTTGAGGATCAAAAATTGAAATATTGATCTTGTGGTTTGTCTTCCGTGCAGGAAGCTGAGGAGCTGGGCTGCTCCTTATTTGTCCACCCATGGGACATGCAGACAGATGGGAGGATGGCTAAGTATTGGCTGCCCTGGCTGGTGGGTGAGGGAGAACGAGTAGGAACAGGAGCTATTGAATATCTCCTGGTCTAGCCAATACAAGATAAAAGAACACAGTTTTCCAAAGACCAAACTTTTAGCAGCATTTTTATTGGTAAGCACCAGTCAAACATTAAACACGGCATTATGAGTGGCAACATCAAGCATTTTAAATAACAAAGGAAGTGTAATTCCTGTGTAAAATACTGGATTTAACTCAACACTCAATAAACCTCAATAAAATATGTTATTTGTACGGCTAATAGATCGAATCCAATTCAATTTTTTCGTCCTGAAATACGATCCTGGGATCTTGGCCAGGGTCATACCAAAACGGATAAGCTACAAGACTCGAAGAAAATAATTGCCAATAAAACGTTTTTAACATGGTAAAATACAATGATTTGGTTTGGACTGGAGATTATCGAATACTCAGCAATGGCCAATAACCGTAACATTTATTAATGCACTGACATTGTAGCCAACTGAGACCAATAATGCTCTTCTTTTTGCTTTTCCTTCTGCCACTAAGTGTATTATCCTACCTATCAAATTATTGTTTAATAACACCAAGACCTTTAAGTAAAGAAAATTTTCTTTTCTTTTCCACCCCAAAGGCATGCCGTCAGAGACAACCATGGCTATTTGTTCAATGATATTCGGAGGCGTCTTTGAGAAATTTCCAAAACTGAAGGTCTGCTTTGCACATGGAGGTAGAGACCAAATGTTGCTGAAAAAAATACATGTAGTGTCAACTTAAACATATTCTTCAAGCTCAGATGTTGTTGTTTGACTTCTATCGCTTATGTTAATTTGCTTACAGGTGGCTCTTTCCCATTCACCATTGGCAGAATTGAACATGGCCACAAAGTCCGCCCGGATCTTTGTGCCGTTGACAACGACATCAGTCCACGAAAGTACCTTGGTTCTTTCTACACCGACTCCCTAGTTCACGATCCAATCGCCCTGAAGCTCCTCATTGACGTTATCGGAGAAGTGAGCTTGTACTTGTCATTCATTAAATGCACACAAACCCTGTCTTAATGGTCGTGATACAGGGCTCATGCATTGAGAAAACACTGAAGGAGTGTTGCTGGTTTTAAGTGTGTAGTGTGCGTGGGAAGTTCTAAGTATTATTTATGTGAAACAACATTAACCTTGGATACACAAACAGTATACACAGGCTCATTAAAGTAGTTGTTGTAGCTCTATTGATGTGTTGAAGCACTGATGCCTTAGAATGGTTCTACTGTAGCTATAACATAATTATTTATACCTTTCATCTGATAGATAGAGATACTCTGGATGTTTATGTCTGCTTATGTACAACTCTTAAGTAGTTTTACAAGTTAACATGCATGTATTACTCGTTCAGGATAAAGTGATGCTTGGAACAGATTATCCATTCCCACTGGGCGAGCTGCAGCCTGGAACACTGATTGAGTCAATGGACGAATTCGATGACAAACTAAAGGTGAGAATATGCTGTCATGAATTCACTTTATATTACATTGACAGGTAGAAAAGTCTAATCAGCAGCAGTGCAAAGTCAAACAAAATAATTCATTAAAAAAATATTATAAGAACTGCGTGTCTAATCTAGTAATTAACATGGCTTGTACTCTTTTGCTTTACAGGATAAATTGCTTGCAGGAAATGCATTGGAATTTTTGGGCCTGAAAAGAGAGAAGTTTGTGTGACATGCAAATCATATAGTGCTACATTGTGTGAAATAGTGCAAAGTCTTTAGTCAAACATTCATATTTGCATGAATAAGATAATTATTTGGATTAGCTTGTATATTAGTTATAGGTTATTAACAATTGTGTTGTTGTTTCATATAATAAAGTAATTTCAGTGTGTTAATTGCATTAAATGTTTGCCTTTATTATATTTATCACTTTATTCTGACATGCCATCTTATGCTTAACCCATTTAACAATGTTCCATAGAGAATACTTCCTGCCCCTGACACCAAAGTAGCCTACAGAGAACTCTTACCACACGTTTAAGGGACACTTTGCAGTCAATCCATTATAACTTTGTTTTTATTTTAATTGTTTGATAGAGTGATTACAGAACAAGTGAAGATAGGTTAAGAGACACTATCACAAAAGACAGACATGCAGGACTACTACTTCTGGAAATTACCCAACAGTGTTCAGTTGTTAATGTGATCTCCCGACACTCAAATTGCTAAAAGAAGCGAACTAATATTAATTTGCTAAACTTCAAAGGAAGTTAGGCAAACATTCCCTTTCTCTGGCTAATATAAACTCAGCCCCAAGAGAACTTATTCTATCTTCTTTTGCCATTTCACCAGCACAAAATTGTGTCCACCTGCCTCATTATTCCTCTCTGAAGGGAAATTCATTTTTAGAGGGAAAAATAAATCCGACTTCCACCAACTGACTTTGTGTGGGAAAGACTCAACTTCGAATATATGCCTATCTTTTGGCCCACTTATTAGATATATGCATAGGAATTTAATCTCTTAAATTAGCATAGGTTATCATATTCTGAATCAGGTCTACGTTTTGTGGACTGTGGACTTAGTTAATCATTTATTATGAAGGTTATTGGGTCACCCATGTTCAATACTATGAAATTAATTGGCATCACCATACCCGTATTGTGTAACAGTTTGAAATCAGTAGATGAACAATCATTTAATAAAAGAAAACAAACAGCATTAGAATATTTTCAAATGTGATACTGTATGCACGGCTCACCATCGAAGAAGTCGTGTTTTCCTGTGCGACACCAACGTCACATCCGCTTTCTCGATGCCCAATGTTGGAGAGTAATGGCGGCGTGCCGGGGATCCTCGTCGAAATGGTTTTTCACCCGGGAACAGCTCGAAACAACGCCGTCCCGTCGATGTGGAGTCGAACCAGACCGAGAGCTCTCCTACCGGCAACAAGCGGCAAATCTGATCCAAGATATGGGTCAGAGACTCAACGTGTATCCTTTGTAAACAACGTTTTCTGGACTGGAGGTATCAGACATGGCGCTAACAGTTTCAGCGGGCCCAGATAGCATTAGCTAATTTAAAACTGACTGCTGAGTAAATGGAGCAACGTTTGTAACTTGTCAACGTGTGTGTTCTGTGATTTTTTTAATTATGTTATATTTTGTATACCTGGAATTTCGATCCCATGTGTTTATGTGTAATGTTAGCTATGCGCTAATATAGCAGGCTACCTAGCTAGCTGTGGTTTGACGTCTAAAGGCCATAAGGCGAGTTTGCAGCTGTTGCTGGCTCCTGGTCCACAGAATGCATTTATTATTCGGTCCGGTCTATCTCAGGTAATTAAATAATGGCATGTGTTATTTTATGACGCAAGTTTAAGTTTGAAGTAGGCTAATTTGCCTTCTCTATGTACTTATATGTACCACAGTTGCTATCATTAAGCTAGTAAGCTAGCTTGATGTACAGTGTCGGTTGGTCAACTGTTTACGTCTTGTCTCTAATTAACTGTAACTCTTTTAAAACATTTGTCTAATTATAATACGTTGTCAAATGATACGTGTTTCTACCTGATATAATTGCATATAGGTAAAGTGTTCATTTTGTTATTGTCAGCATGGTTTTAACCCAGTGAAAGTTAAAACATTTCCCTTGACCAACTCTCCAGCTCCCAACTAACAATAAATACAGCCATTGTTTACATGCATAGATTTTATATGAACCACTCCTTCACCAAATTCCACAGGAATGTAAGTATCAAGTTATATAACACTGCTATTGACCTGTAACCTAGTACCACATGTTGGATATATTGTTACATACATTGCACAGAGAAGTGTTGGGTATTATATTGAAATATCTTGATGCTTCTGTGCAGATAATCTCTCCAACCACCTTATTCTTGGCCGCAAAAGTGGAAGAGCAACCTCGGAAACTCGAACATGTGATCAAAGTGGCACATGCTTGCCTCAATCCCCAAGAATCGCCTCTAGACACAAAGAGTAATGTAAGTTCAGGGTGATCTCACATTGTATGGTTGAAAGTATTTTTCCCTTTTTCTACATGTGACTTCCCAGTTCTCACAGTGGTCATGGTTTCCTTATGTGATACTGGCTGTACCAAAGTCCCTTGCCCTCTACTGAGAGCCTTAACTTGAATGCCCTGGCCGGCTGTTGGTGTGTACCATACACCTTACAAGGCCTACATTAAAAGTAAAATGTGCCTCTGAGTTTTTGGCCATTTGAAATTAGTTAGTTGGATAGATTAATAGACTCATTACAATTGTGTTGTAATGACTGTCTATCAAACTTTAGGCATACCTCCAGCAAGCTCAAGAGCTGGTGATACTTGAATCCATAGTGCTGCAGACCCTGGGTAAGTAGTGGTGACTGGAGTGGATGACTTGAGAGAGAGATAGCGTTTTGTTTTATCATAATCATTATCTTTGGCTTATCAATAAGGGAGTAGTGCTATTGATCACCGTTGAATGTATTCATCACAGCCTGTTGAGTGAAATGTTTTATCAGCTGCTGTATGGGTATCTTGTCATATACATATTTTCAAGAAATCATGTAAAGGTGACATGTCATTTTATTTTTGCCACTTTAGCATTAGTCTTTTTGCAATTTTGCACAGGATTTGTATTTATATCTCCATTACCTTCAATACCTATACATGTGGGTGCCAGAGTAAATGCTGCTAGAGCTCATGACATCTATTTTTAAAATCTATATATGAGCATCAAGTTTCACTATTCATATTGAACATAAAGATATCTATCCAAATCTAAATTGATACTCCTAAATGGATACCTAGGTGTGTTTGTTAAATCATAAAATGACATGTCACCTCCCAACTGTCTCTGTGTTGAACTCACCTGTCATGTATTTTGTTCCAGGCTTTGAAATTACTATTGATCACCCACACACTGATGTGGTGAAATGTTCCCAGCTAGTGCGAGGTAGAGGCTTCCTTCTTTGCTCTTTGTGCCCTCTGCTCTTTTTTTGTCCCACCTCAAATGTGGGTGGGGAGGGGGATTGAAACCCTTGCTGATTTAATGGTTACATGACCACACACACACCTTGCTCGTTTCACGACATTTGAATATGACACAGCACATAGACGACAACATTGACATGCACTTATTGGGCCAAGACTGAAATTCTTTATTTCTTCGTTTTACCATTTCATTCTGTGTCCGAGGAACTATCTCCTGTAAACATTGGTTATGTTGGACAAGGTCAACGAAGTCCTTTGGCTTAACATCTTCCAGTTGCTTCTTTATTGTAGCAGTTGTGTGTTGGTAGTATTGTTTTCAGTCTTGGCCTTGTCTTAATCAGTGCTTTGAAACATTCAGTTCCTGACCCAATGTTAATGTCATGCTCCGTCTTGCAGAAATATTAATCCTTTTATTTTCCCCTCCCCTGTTTTCCTATTTTTCTTTCCCTCTCTTACAGCAAGCAAGGATCTGGCACAGACTTCCTATTTCATGGCTACCAACAGGTTGTTATCCTGTCCCTCCTTTGTTGCACTTTGACTGCACACCATAGCTTCCTGTAATGCAGGGTACCCTTTCAGTGTCCAACGGGCCCTAATAGCGCTGGTGGTTGTTGGGATGCTTGCCTCCTCCCCTCGGCTCCCCTCCCTCGTTCACAGGGAGCGGGACAGGGTGGCTCGTAGCGTTACCGGCCCCAGTCGCAGTGCGGTGTATTGTACAAGGGACCACGTGTTGGCACAGATGGGTTGAATGCAAGGTGTGAAGTGTAGTGGTGCGCTTGAAACCCACATGTTTGTTCGGTTGCGAAAAAGTGCATAATTCTAAGAGAAAGACACTTTGGTAGCCTGAATAGCAGCTAAAGATTTCAGAGATGTAAACATTTCTCGTAGAGGTCCACCCGGTAAGTACCGCAAATTAATTCTTAAAATGTTATTTTTCATATCCATTTGTCAAAAATGCATTATCCTGCAATTTTTTTCATATTGCACATACTTTTCCCAGATTTTCAAAATACATATAGCTCATGTAAAACATGTGACAAAAATATTACCACAACCCATTAAGGACCGAGACAATATTTAATGGTTGGCATGTCAATTGTTTATCTCAGACTGATCAAAGTCAATTTTTTGATGATTATCAAAATGTATTTTAGTATTAAAACTGGGTCCTTAACGGGTTTGTTTATATTTTACAGTTGTGAAAAGTAATTTTGCATTAATGTAATTAACTCGTAATGTCAATCAATGAAATGATGAAATCAATTGACAATGTCTGGAAGCTGACTGAATCATGTTTGCAATTTTACACCAAGCTAGTACTTACATGAGTGCAATTTACAAAAAGTTAATACATACATTTTTTGGAATTGAGTCAAGAAGAATCATCACTTTTGTTGTGAAAGATTTAAGATGTCTAAATTGATTTGAGTTTAAACTTTTCCCATCAGCCAAAGTCTTTGTAATGTCTGCCGTGACTGTTAGCTTTGTTCTAAAAACGCCGCTGTAATCTGACAGCCCAGACTCCAGACATTGTACTTGTTTTACAGGCAAGGTTACCATCCAGCTCTAGCTCTCTTGATTGTGAGGAACTTTCATCCTTAAAATAATTTTTTAGCTTTCAAGACTTAGATTGTTGAAATGTTGGCTTTAAATACTTATACAAGGGTCATTTGTCTTTATTTATTTGTTCCTTTTCATGTGTTATGACCTTTGTTTAACGAGTCAATTGTGATCAAAAGTTCTAAAAGTGGTACGGTGATGACATTTTTTTAGGCCGTAGCCCAACCCGGAAGTTAGCATCGCAAAGGCTCTATCGAAAAAAGCATTGAGATTTACCATTGGATTAAGGAATTTTGCGGAAAAGAAACTCATGTTTTTGCCACGTTTTGTTTAGCAGGATAATTTCCACATATTGAATTGTTAATCTTATCGCCAGAAGTAAATAACTAACATGAGGCAATTAACAAACGACAACACGGTCGCAGTTCACGTCACCACTGCTAAAACAAAAAGGTGGATTTATCTCTGCGTGACATCTAGTAGTTTTATTTAGCCACTTTTTTTTTTTAGCAATCACTGGTTTTAAGACGCGTAAATGCTCCAGGAATTCACGTGTTGTGTATTTACTGACATATCAAATGACTTCAAGACGGGGGAACTGAAATTGCTAAAATGCCGACTCATTTGCGGTTTTAGGACTCATTTCCCTTCACGCTTGCAACATAAAGTTACACTTTATAAATGATGGTTCCATTCCCTTTGAGTCATAGTTAGGATTAGGATTATCTCTAACTTTTAATCAAGAAGGTTCAGTGTTGAAACTGCCTGCGCTTCAGTTTAGCCCTAACAGTGTCAGTATTGGTGCCGTGTTGTATCCATTGATCTGTCGGGCCCACTAGGTTTATCCCTTTCAACACAGAGCCATACAGAGAGGGTTGTAGGAGCAGCCCCTCGCCAGTTAACAGTAAAATGATGTAACCGTCACATGGGTGGCCTCTGGTTTCAGTGTTTCACAATAGGGCTGCACTCAGCCACTACACGTGGCCCACTTCCACTTCTGTTTTTATGTCCTAACATTCAACCAAGCCAGGTTCTTTGAAGCATAAATTGACACCTGACACAATGTATGATGTGCCTGCATGAATGATACAATTAGGGGAAATTTCATCTGTATTGTGACTAGGGCTGCACCATTTTTTTTAATCGCAATAAGGACTAGCTTAATATAGAAATAAAGCACTATAAAAAATATGTGAAAACATTTCGTTTTCAATTGTGTATTGCAGTTCTCGCGAGAATTCACAACAGATCATTTTGTTATACTCCTCAATTATAATGTGAATAATGTTTAAACATTTCACAAATCATATCCCATTTGCAATATCAGTACAAATAATCGCAATAAGCTATATTGTCCAAATCGTGCAGCCTTAATTTTGATCCGTTTGACACGATAAACTGTACATTTTACATTGTATGATCTTGAGCCAATAATGGCTTATCATTTGCAAGCAATGCCTACAGTAAATTAAAACGGTCCGCTCCCTCTTGTTTTTTCTTTTCTCTTTTCTACATATGCGGGACCATTCGGGATATCGCCTGACCTGAACTCACTCCACATTCCACACATTCCTACACCCTCACATTTCTTTCATGAACACACACACTCTCATATCACTTGCGCATACCCTCACACATTATGCAGTCTACACCTCACTACGTTCTGCCTCCAGTACAAACCCACAGTGATCTCCTGTGTGTGCATCCACCTGGCCTGTAAGTGGTCAAACTGGGAGATCCCAGTTTCCACTGATGGGAAACACTGGTGGGAGTACGTGGACAACTCGGTCACCCTCGAGCTGCTTGATGGTGAGATTGAATTAATGTTTTGCTTTACCATAATGCATTACTGTGGATACATTTACCCTGCACCAAGTTCTTATATCTGCCCTCTTATATCTAGGGTGAAGGTCATAGTACTCGCATATTTTCCAATGGTTAAAATGAGAGAAGGGGATGTTGCGTTGTATCAGCAGAATTTGTGGTGATTTAATGACAACATGCATGTCTTTTACTTTCAGAGTTGACCCACGAGTTTCTGCAAATTCTGGAGAAGACGCCCAGCCGGTTAAAGAGGATTCGCAACTGGAGGGTAAGAGACATTGCTGCTCGATTTCCTGCATTGGAAGGTTAAAATGCAATTATGGTCATTTTCTCGGCTGTTTGTGATTTCTGACAAGTCAGAACTGTAGATTCCGATTTTTTTTGTTGATTCCATATGATCTTTCTATATTTAGTAAAAAAGAATGGGAAATATAAAACTGATCGGCCTGTCAAAGATCGTGGCCAACTAGCTGACAGTTTGTAGTCTCACCAAAACAGCTCCATGTACACATAAGATCTTTAAACCAGCCTAAAGCACCATACTCAGTTATGAAACAGTTCAAAAGTGTGGCAATGCTGCAATACTAGGTAGTAGCAAAGCATTACATACAAATGTCCCACTGTTAAATCCCATTATGAGAGCTTACTGTTGGGGAAACCAAATGCTCAACAGCGTCACAAATCTCTTTCTGTCCCCTAGGCAACACAAGCTGCCAAAAAGCCAAAGGGTGACGGCACATCGTTGAATGACAACTCCTTTGCCGGGCCTTCCATGCTCCAAGATGATGCATCACTCCCTGGTGGCTCCTGCAACCCAAGTTTTTCCAAGGCAGGCGCTGCCTTCATGTCTGGCCCCTCCGGGGATGGACCCCTGTCTCTGGAATCCTTGGCTGGCTCGTACAACCCAGCCAGCCACAGCGAGTGGCCCCTGGGTAACCAGAGCCAAGCTGGGTATGCTACCTCCAGTATAAAACAGGAACCCCTCAGCATCCCTCTGCAAGAGCCCTCCCTGCTTCTTAATGCGCCGGTATACAGGACTGATAAAACACTGGACTTCATACCTGTCAAACAGGAACAAAAAGGAGGACAGCCTCCTCCACCACAACCGTCTCCAGCTCAGAAGCTGTCTCTGGACAGATACAGAGAGAAACAAGCAGCAGAGCAGACTGTCTCCGGGCATAAACGCAGCCAGGAACAGCATGGAGGAATAATGGATTGTGACGGGAGGGGGGACATGTTATCTTCCTCCTCTTCTACCTATGCACCCGCGAGCCAAGTAGACCATAGAAAACATTCACAGCCCCACCAAACATCCCACGGTGTTGGTGGAGGCACCACTGCCTCCCCGATGAAAATTAAAGCTCCCTCCTCAACTTCAGGGCAAGAAAGACGTCATCATAGTGACAAGCGGGACAAAGGCTCACTCAAGCTCCGCCTGGCTGTCCCCGGGTCTGGTGGGGGCTACCAGCTGGACAAAGGCGGACTGCCAAGCAAAGACGAGCTCAAGATGAAGATAAAAGTCTCATCATCGGAGCGCCACAGCTCATCGGACGAAGGCATGGCGGCCAACAACAACAACAAGAGCAAACATTCCAGCCCTCTGGTGATTAAGGAGAAACAGCACCGTGGAGCAGATCACCTCCATCGCCACCACAAGCACAGTCATCCTCACACACACAGCGGGAACGGCGGGGGAGGCCCGCTACGGGGGCTGCCGGGCATGGAAGGGCCCATACTCGCTCCTCCAGGATCCCTGTCTTCCTCATCGCGCAAGAGGGCGTACCCCGAGGCCGGCCACAACAACCACCACCCTCCCTCCTCATTCTCCACTTCATGCTCCAAAGTGAGCAAAAACTCCAAGGGTGGCACAGTTGCTGCAGGTACTACATATTTTTCTTTCCCCTTTTCTCCTCCTTGCTCCTCTCCTGTACTGCAGTGTGTCTCGTCTGGCTTGCAGCTCTATGGCTAACCTCCCCCCTCCCTCCTCCTTATTCTTGTTTCTCCTCCTCCTCCCCTCCTGTCACACCCAGGTGGGCTGCGGACCTCTCAGCAGTACCCTCCTCCTCCTAATGAATCGCCACATGAAGTGGGAGAGCAGAGACACTGAAAGACCCCTCTCTGCAGCCATGGCCCAAACTACCCACAGCTCAGACTATGAAGACTATGCTCCCTGTTAAGTGCCCTGTGAAAAATAACTCTTTATGTCATGATAAACCCTTTACTGAATGGCAGAAACGCGTATCTGCAAAAAAAAAAAAAAGATAAGTATTGTTGGACCTCTCAATTTCTGAGACAAGAAAGATGAAAAAAATTATGCTTCCTGACCGTCAGATCTCTGGGCCCTAATGCTCAGTCCTTTCTTTCTGTTAGTGTTGAATTGCTGCTTGGTTCTCCTTCCTCAAATGAGTCTCGGAATGTGCAAAGTTGGGTGAATGTGTGCGTTTTCATCGAGGGGAAAGTACTTCCCTGCATTTCAGATCTCAGTATGGGAAAAAGTACTATAAGAGGCACGGAAGGTGCTCTTTCTTCCTTCTTTTTTTTAATGATTAATTTAATTGAATCCCATTTCTGCGGTTGTATGTAGGAAGGCAGTGACCAGCTGGAGAGGAGTTCAAGTTATGAAGTTATGTTAGCTGGCCTTCCAATTAATACTGTTGATGGATGCAACTTTAATTTTTTAGGTGTGAATTTTCATCTCCTCAATCTCTTTCTTGTCTTGATTTATTTTTTATACTTTAGTACTGTGCGTATGATTTGCATGTTTCAATCATCAAAGGGATTTAAAAGGAGAATACGTACTTGCTGTTTACAGAAAGTGGAGATAAATGTACATACGTTTTTGTATGTTTAAAGAAAGAAAATATGACTACTCAGGTTTGGAGCTGCTTGTAAGTATAACAAGATAACTATAATACCTATAAAATACTTTTATTTTGTTGATCAACGGATTGGGTGTCATCCGGTGAATGATTGCAGCGTCCCAGTGGCGTGTGCTTCTTACACCTTCCTGAAGGGGGTGCTGTTCTGTGCTTTTCATCACAGGGAATATCATTTGATGCCCTCAGTGACACAGGCACATCCAACACCTACTTATTATAACATCAGTGATGCAATTTCTACCAAAAACATTTTTTTTCTTTACCTATAAGTAGACCTTTAAGCTGGATGCCAAAGGTTGTGCCTCAAAAAGACAAACAACTGACAAAGACAGTAGTAGTGTGCTATTAAAGTTTACATAACCCTTTTTACTTTGAAGTGTATCACATAATTTCATGACGTGAAGCTGTTGCCTTTAGATGTCAGCCCTTAAATGGGATACATGTAAGTATGATTCAATCAGCCAATAACATGGTACTATATAGAAAAAAAAACATCAAACCGGGACCAATTGGCCATATGCAACCAATAACCGCTGGATATTTTGGCATCTGCAATGTTAACACCCCAACTAGGTTTTGTCTTCATCCAACTGGTTAAATTGACATTTACAGCCATGTACCTGTCCGAACATGTCTTCAGTTTCATACATTAAACTCTGCAATGTTCTCAAATCTTGACCCCTTCTGTTTTTCACTTGGTCTCTTTGTGCAAAGTACTCAAGGCTGGATTGGTGGTACCTTCGTTAGGGATTTAGGGCACACAGCAAAGCAGTTGAGGACAAATAAGCATAACCCCCCTCGTCCTTTTTTCTCATTTTCATTTCAATATTATGAATAAACTTCAAAGTTGCCATTACCCTGACACAGTATAAACCCTGGTTGTTGTCGTTTTATTTTGCATATAACAATGTTACTACAGTTGCGAAGAAAATAAACATGTTTGATTCACGTTGTTTCTAGCAATACGTTAATGTGGGTTAGTTGATGCATTAGCAAACTCTACACATTGATTCCTCAATAACTCAGTATAACTAGCTTTAGAAAATGTTGTAGCAATATAGATTAGTGTCTGACAGGCAGCTGAGAGTTACACTGTATACATTTTAAATTAAGGCATTTATAAGATTGGCACACAAGAGATTTCTATAGAAAATCTACAAAATCGGTGAAAAACGTTGCATTTATCTGTTCACATTTGATATGTTCTATTAGGCAAAAGTTAAATGGTTCAAAGTGCTTCTCATGTTTCTTAACATTTTAAGAATGCAATGACCATAAGCCCAATGCTCAAACACTACTAGTGCATCAATGGGGTTGGTGTCTAGCCCTCGAAGGGACGCAAAAGAATGCTTAATAATAATTTGATTCATCAATTCAAATGAAATCATCAAAATGTGTCCTTGAACTAAACATTCTCTTGGAAATGTAACTTGTTAGCCGCACAGACCCTCTGGGTGACCACAGCAGCTTTTTTTCTGCTTCTCCCAGGAGTTCGCCCCAAACTTATTTTGGGGGATGAATGAATGCTTCAGCAGCTGGTGTGCAGATGGCCGTAGTCTCTGGTCGCTGTTAAGAGAAAACAAATCAAGATAACCAAAATGATTCCAATAAATGGCTCAAAGTAGAAAATTAGGCTTAGGCTTTCAACTCTATTAGTTCAAAACTCTTTATAAGCACTGTACGTTTAATATTATAGATTGAAATAGTACGTAGGTGTATGACAGTAACAGTTCACACAGATCAGGGATGACAAAAGCTCTCACCTTGTCAAGCTGATTTGTACAAAATCCTTTGCGTTATCCGAAAACCCATCTGGTAAGGAGGGCATCACCCCTCTTTTAGCCCCAATGTAGAACAAGGCAGCCATCTTGTCCATGTGAGCCAGTGGTGGTTTTCCTGTGGCCATCTCAAACACTGTGCAACCCACACTCCATATATCAGACTTTCTGCCATATCCTGTCTCATTGATAACCTAAGGAGTGGAAAGATTAAAAAGGCAATTTGATATTTGCTGAAAATAAAGTAATTGGAACATTGCAAAAAAAAGAAAGAAAGCATTTCCAAGCATGATTGTTTTTTTTGGCCAGAGTAACCCTGCATACAAGGCATTGACCCAGAAAAGCTCATTGGTTAGTTAGGGCATAGGACCTGACCAAATCCGGGTAGTGGTAGCCTAACTGGTGCAGATTTTAGCACTTGAATGCTATGCTAGACTCGTCTTGCCAAGAAAAGCAGTCGAAAAAAATAACACCATCTTCACATATTGGAAGACCTCCCAAATGATCTCTGAATCTACCTCTGGTGCCATCCAGTAAGGTGTGCCATGGACAGACTTCAGCAGATCTCCACTGTTGCTAGCGGTGTGGTTCAGGCAGCTGAGACGACGCGCACAGCCGAAGTCGATGAGCTTGATGACGCCAGTGGGCATCAGCATGATGTTGTTTCCCTTCAAGTCACGATGAATCACCCTGTTCAAGTGAAGGTAGGCCACCCCTTCCAGAATCTGATGTGTGTACAAGGCCAGGACACACTCTGGCAGAGGACCAAACCTGAAGACAGCATGTGGTGTTGAAGGTTAGTAACAGACCATTCTTGAATTCTCTGATTTTGATGTTTCTAAGGGATACATCACCCCAAAATGATCAATGGTATATCAATTACTTAAAGTGGACCTATCATGCTATATCTGAATAATATAGTATAGGACCATACCTATATAAGGCATATTTATGCTTTTTTCTTTTTCAAAATACCAAACATCATGCATTTTAGCCATGCCTCATTTTGCTCAATTTGACATTTTTTAGCTCTGTTTTTGCAAGGGCAGATTCAGTGAGAACAGCACCATCTACAGGCCTGGCATATGTACTACAGCGTCTCCAGCGCTTTCCAACGGCAATGGCCGTGGCTGTCTCCTCCTGATTGGTGGAGTTGGCCCAATAGCCGTAGCGCCACTGTCCTGACGTCAGGACAGTGTTCAAATCTGGATCAGTTTTGATCAGATCCGTTGCAGCCCCTTTTTTAGAGATTTGGGTATGGAGGAAAATAGAGAGGGTTGTGTTTTCTGACACTTGGTGAGTTCCCTGGAACCCCGGGGACACATATGCATGTATAAAAGACGTACAAAGTGCATTTTGCATGATAGGTCCCCTTTAACGTGTGTTGAGTTCTTGAAGAAAACTTTTCTTGCATGCCTCAATGGTAAACAAAGAATCCAAAAACTGAACAATTATTGATGAATTCCAGTATATGGGGGCGCATCTAACAACACAAAACTATACTTAAACTGAAACTTAAACATAACTAAACTTCCGTCTACAAACGGTCACACAACCCTTTCAGTATAGTCTCATTTATACAGTTGTGCTCACTTCGTTCCAAATATATGACATTTTACTGAACCTTTACTGTTTTGCCGCTATTTCTTAAATACACCAATTTGTTGTACACCAAGATTCTTAGTAAACCATGGTGGCATGGGAGTAACACAAAAGCTTTCCTCAAATATCAATGGATATACAGGGTTAGTAATTTAAAGGGGACCTATCATGCAAAATGCACTTTTGTACGTATTTTATACATGAATATGTGTCCCCGGTGTTCCAGGGAACTCACCAAGTGTCAGAAAACACAACCCTCTCTATTTTCCTCCATACCCAAATCTCTAAAAAAGGGGCTGCAACGGATCTGATCAAAACTGATCCAGATTTGAACACTTTACTGACGTCAGGAAAGTGGCGCTACGGCTATTGGGCCAACTCTCCACCTATCAGGGGAATGTGGGGTTGGGCCACGGCCGGCCATTGCCGCTCGAAAGCGCTGGAGACGCTGTAGTACATATGCCAGGCCTGTAAGTGGTGCTGTAGTCTGCCACAAAAGCAGCGAAGAAGACTTGGTTACCATGGTTACCCTTCTGTTTATTCTCCGCTGTGGCTTTTTTTCTCCCTCCCCGAGGCAAGCGTTTGCTCCTTCTGCTGCTTTAATTCAATGCAATCCCTCCCCGTCGAGGCAAGCACTGTAATTCTCTCCGGTTAGTCCACCAGCAGATGACAAACACCCACCTCTCCGCCTCTTCCAAGGAACGAGGGGACCGTGCGGCAGAGTTTCAGTTTCAGTTTCTTTCGCCGGTCAAGATGTCCGTTAAAGTTTAAATCTTCCGGACAAAATTAGAAAAGTGCCGGTCAAAGGTCTTCTTTGTTATTTATTGAGCTTTAAAACAAATGAATAACGACTATATAATAAAACACAGAGATCTCTTTTTCTCCCCCTCTTCTGACAGCCCAGCAGCTGATCAGAGCACGGCTCCGCTCTCCTGCAGGGGGGCGTGGTCAGCAGAATCAGACCCGTAGACAGCAAACAGCACATAGAGCGAAATGAGGCATGGCTAAAATGCATGATCTGTTTGGTATTTCGAAAACAGAAACGTATAAATATACCTTATATAGGTATGGCCATACAATATATCATTTAAATATAGCATGATAGGTTTCCTTTAATGTACATTTTTGGGGGAAATATTCCCAAATTATTCTTGCAACACATTCCTGGGTAACTTGTAGGTGGTTGTGACTTGTGAATAACTAACCTGTGAAGGATGCTGGCAATGGATCCTCCTGGGATGTATTCCATAAATATGGAAACCACATGCTGTTGGAGTGAGGTACCCAGGAAACCCACAATGTTGGTGTGTCTTAGAGTTTTAAGCAGCTCCACCTCCCCCTGCAGACGAATGTACTCTGTCTTGGCAGCATCTGGGTCAGAGGAATCAAGGCTCACCTGCTTCACAGCTATCAGCTGGCCCTGGCTGGTCAGGCCGCAGTACACCTGGGAAGAAGAAGCAGTGGTCGGCACTGGGGTTACTGGAGCATCAACGTCTGCAGTGGGACATATACTGCTTTGAGTATTTTTCATCTATGAATATAGATTTCATGGTTGTGTGAATAGTTAACATCTTAGGATGGTGTTGTACTGTGTCATTATTGTATAGCCTAACTGCGTTAGTCCATACTTACTGTCCCATAGGCTCCCCTGCCGAGTACTTCACCTTTTGTCCATGTGATCGCGTCATCTACAACCAACACAGAGCCAAGCAGAGCACCACTGTCTGGGGTCTTTACCTGCAATTAAAAACAGATAATGAATATTTAATTTATGAGAAGGTTACTCATGAACTTGATAATCTATCTTTTATGTTTTTCTTACTGATATAGAATTGATTTCTCCATCCGATTCCAGGCTCTCAGGTTCTATGTATACATCTCTCTCGTCCAATGAGATCAGCTCCTCAGCCAGACATTGCAGCAGGTCATCTGTAAGTGGCCCGTCCCCCACCTCATCCAGAAACTTCTTGTAAACTGGTGACACAATGGTGTGGTCACCACTGCTGGAAGAAGCCCAGGTTTGGATCTTTGCCTGTTGGGGGCTTTGAGATAACACAGGCTCAGAAACTGGTCGGTTTGGGTTTTCTATTTCTTGCATGTTCATGTGGGGGTGAGTATAATGAGATAAAGCTCTTGGCTTGGTCAATGTTTTCTCATCAGATTTGACTGTTTCAGACCCATGTCTAGAAAGAGCTTCCTCGATCGTAGACAAAATGGTTTCTTGAGCACTACCACGGAAAATGTCATTATCCTTAGATAGTTCAGCTTCTTTGAGTCTATCTGATACAGGCATATTCTTATTTTTCAGAATAACTTTCCTTGGCACAGGTGTGTGGAGATGTTTCACCCTAGAGGACGCATGTTTTGGTTTGCCTTTAGCTGAAATAACCATGCTCTCCCCCGGACTTCTCCTCTGTGCTTGTTTCGATGTTCTGTGTTTGACTTTATGCCACTGTGGCGTCTTCCTGGATGGAGCAGACTGCACTTGTCTGTCCTTGACTTTCTCACAGGAGCTAGAAACTCGAAGGTTATCATAGACGGGACCAGCAAACATCTCGTAGATGGCTGGTCCTTCATCCCCACTATGGATCTGCTTAAACATGTCTTTGTAGGTGATGAAGTCCACAGCAGATTTAGACCTGGGTTTGCCTGCTAGACTGGGTCTCTTTAACTGCCAGATGGTCTTCACCTCCCTAACTGGTGGAATTCTGTTGCTGTTCATCTTCTCAGGATTTGGTCTTTTGCTCTGATCATTAAGCTTCTTCCTAGGTGATATGGTGCCATTGTTAGAACATGCTACTTTAAGCTTTGACTTCCCTTTTATGACAGTCTCTCCGCCAATAATTAGCTCTGGGCTTTTCCTTGTTTTATCTTTACCTTGTGCGGAAAGTGAGGAGTTCTTCAGATTACTTGTGGACTTATTCCGATTGAGGATGCTTCGCTCTTTGCGCGCTACCATGTTGAAGGACTGCTGGTTCGTTTCAATGTTTTCTCTCATTTCACTGTTTGTGCTACTTCTTCTGTCCTTGTTTCGGACAGGCTTTAAGGCTTTCAACATCTTCTCATCTTTCTTGGGATCCATGTCTGACTGAGGAAGTTTTACAGCTGAAGTAAATAATTGTATTTTCTCCTCGGTAGTGCTAGCAGTTAACGTCAAATCCTTGCTACAAATGATTGGGCTACCTACGCCGTTTATTTCATAACAGGAATCCTTCATTCTCCGTTCTGTCCGTTTAACCTGCTGTGGGTCATTTTTGGAAGTTCCTTCACGGTATGCAATAACATCCCTATTGTCATCCTTGATAATAAATGTTATGCTATGGCTAATCTCAGTCCCAGGCTCTGGGGTGCAACCCACATAGTTATTTTCCTCCTTAGACTTTGATTTGATAGGTATTTCAATGTCCACGATGTCTCCTTTTTGTGCATAGTTCATAAAGGACTGACTCTCATCAGTCTCCTTTGTAAAAATCCTTCTGGTGGCTTTGCCTTTAGAGTGAGGGTTTATAGCTGGTTTAGCATTGTCAAGATCACTGATAGGGTCTCCGTCCAGGTCATGTACTGATCTGTGGATCAGTGGAATATGAATGATTCTTGACTGAACTTTAAAATGCTGCCTTTTATCCCAAACCAAATCAGCCTCGGTGGCGCTCATGCTGTTGGATTGCCGCAACAATCTTTCTCCAACAAACTTCAGAGGTCTTTCTCCCGAAGCTCGCTTTAGTATGTCCTTTGTATCTTCCTCGTCCTCCAGGTCGATGGAACTCTGGCTGCTGCCGGACCCGCTTTCCTCACTTTCTCCCTTAGTAGTCAGTGGGCTTCCCCAGAACAACCGTTCTCTCCTCAGCCGGGTCCTAGAGCAAAGGGGGCTCTGGCTTATGGGCTTCAGGGGAACGTGGTGTTTAAGTGCTGGCAGGGCAGCAATGTCCCGGGGCCTGCTGTCCAGTGGGGCCAACAGCTTGGGGGTTCTGGGATGCAGAGACAGTAAGGGACCCTGCAAGAAGGGACATTGATAGTAAGGACTTGTGAGACGACCAATTGAATGCAAGTATGACAAGATGTAAGGAGGTTTTTGGTTGTTACTCACCTTTTGTTCATTTTCAGTTTCTTGAGTACCCAGTCCTGCAGACAGGAAGAAAATATATATTTAGAATGAAGTAGCATAAGGGTAGCTAACTTCCTTTCTGGCGTAAATTGAGCCATCATTTTCCCATGAGACCAATTAGAATTGGATTGAAACTGAGGCTTATAGGGGGCTAATCTAAACGCAGATGGTGTCATCATTCTATAGCCAGTGATTGTATAACATCAACATTTACCTTTAATTCAAAAGTTAAACCAAAAACAATATCCTAAACCTACCACCAAGTTTAATTATAACATTTACAGCATATAACAATGTTTCCTTTTGGATATATTTTAACATAGGAATAATCCAAATGAATTCACATCTAATTTTAAAATAGTATTGCTTTGTAATTCTTAAAAGATTAAATAACTACATTCACATACGGCTCTGGATGTGTGCTCTGGCCTGGATCATACTGTTGGAACAGAGCAGTGGTTCCAGGATGCTGGGTGCTGATTGGCTGAGCGGGCTGGGCTCTGTCACAGACAGCAGGCTGGGGGAGGATGGGGGTGCAGCCACCACACTTGTTGTTCTCTTTCTGTGAGTGAAAAGTCCGATTTTGTTTAAGTGCCACTTATATACACAAAAAAGAAAAAAAAGAAACAGCAACTTAGACTGAAGGTGCATTTCCATCCACCTGTGTTTTTTTTGTTTTTATTTACAAATAAAAAACAATGTACAAATACTATTGGCGGATTCAAACTGTCTCCTAATCACTCCATAAAGATCTGATGTAACTTTACTTATAAGCAAACAGGAATGGCAAGAATTTCCATCAACTCTTTGTATGGTTTTTAACCCTTTGAGGTACGACTGAAGCTATTTTAATGACGCTATCTTGTCTTCTTCTCTGGCAATTGTATACTACATTAACTAGAGGACTGTCATCTGTTTATCTTGATGAACCAACTTCTTCCATAAATGTAGTGGATGGAAAGAAGCATTTATATGCATTGTCTTTTACGATTTCTCGAAATGTGTTAAATCTTTCGGTCTTTTCCATTCAGAGATTTATTATGACCATATTTCTTACTTTGTTTATTTGTTATTTAAACAAACTGGCTATCTACAATTGATTATTTGCTTAAATAATGAGTCCAGCTACTGTATGTACCTGTGTTCAGGAGGTACTGGCAGACAGGAGGTCCTGGTACTCAGCAAACCAGGTGAGGGAGAAGGATCCAGATGGCTCCAGCGTCTGCCGTTGTCCCCAAGGTGAGGCAAAGACAAACCTCCTCTGGTGAGCGGAAAAGGAAACAACACAGCAAGGTTTTCTGTTATCAAGCCTTTGACAGAAAGAGTGTATGTACAGGCCAATGAGGGGAGTTATTTTGGCTCTGATGATGAGTTGTATTGCCTTGTGCTGAACTGAACATAATACCAATAGCCTCATTTTCCTCCCATCTGGAAGCTGATGCTGTGAAATTAGAGACCTGCTCAAAGACCTGTAGGCCTATTCTCCTCAGAGAGCTTGGACTTGATATAGTGGTGAGTAACAGACAATGAGCTGATTCACCAGAACCCTCTCTCCCCCTGTCCCTGTATTGCTAAGCTGTTTGGGTAGAACAGGTTGTCCTCTGGACACAGGGACAGGTGCCTGCATACAGGACAGGAGTGTAACTGGAGAGGACAGTTTTCCTCAGTTGGTGTTGAGTAAGAGGCTGTTGCTGACTAGCCCAGGGTGAGGGTGCTGTTTATACAAGAGACTGTGTGTTGGGGGAGTTAACCGTATGCGCATACAATGTTTGTGGCTCACGTATAAACAGATGTTGATGTGTTCACTTGTGTCTGCACTGTCAACGCTATCAGCCCTTTAATTAGCACATCTTTACAGAAAATACACACTCATTGGGAGGTGTGTGTGTGTGTGTGTGTGTGTGTGTGTGTGTGTGTGTGTGTGTGTGTGTGTGTGTGGAGAGATGTGTTTGATTTCACCGTGCCCACCTGCTTCTTCTCCCTGCGTCCTGGTAGGCTTGCCTGATGTCTCTCAGCGTTTCCATGGCGTTTTGGAAACAGAGGGGGATTCCCTTATCTGCTCCACACACACACACACACACACACACACACACACACACACACACACACACACACACACACACACACACACACACACACACACACACACACACACACACACACACACACACACACACACACACACACACACACACACACACAGTTACACCCAATCCTAAATCCATTGTATACTCTCTGGTCACGCATTGATTTAAAACTCAGTTACATACTGTATTTCATATTTCTGGCCTGAAAAGGATTCTACTTAAAAAAACTAGTTCCATTCATGGGGCATTTAAAGGGGTGTAAGAAATAACAAAAAAACAATAGCAAAGATTACATTTGTCAAATATAAAAGGCTTACATGTATTACAATTGTAAAAAAAAAATAAAAAAAAATACACAATACACATAATTGTTGTGACAATTAATCTCTGATACAACATTCTTAGTTCTACTGTTATCGCTTGTTTTACAGAGATGTCTTGTAGAAATGTCATTAACTATATGGGTTATTTTAAACAGTTCCCCAGTTGTTCTGTATGTTACAACATATTAAAACTAATCACAGAGAAAACAACGTTACCTGTTTGTTAGCCTGTTTGTCCACTCTGTTCCCATTTCCAGATCACTCTTAGAAAATCTGATAATTCCTCACTAGTTATTCCTTTATTTCTCCATGACCAAATGATTCTGATTTCGCCCTCTGTATTCTCAACATGTCCATTCCTCCCAATAACGCTGTCTTTTAGTGATCTGCTCTATCCGCTCTGCGTCTCCAGCATGTTGTTTTGAGGTGTACGATCGGCAGGCAGATTTCTCAGCTGAGAGGTGGTATTGTGTGTGAGACCCCACCCACCCAGTCACGCCCCCTCACTCCCCTTCCTTTACAAGGTACCTGATCTGATGGCCTATTTGGGGGCTTTTGTCACTATTAAATGCCAAAAACCGTAACAAAATGTGCTGTTTAAAGCAGTAAGTTGGCAAGAAACCAACACCACCTGTTTGTGTTTTCTCTTTAGGTTTTTCCCCTATAGAAATAGAATGCAATATTGGTCCTTCTCTAACAATCTCACTGAAGCCCAAGAAAGCAGAACAGTTTCACACCACTGTCACACATCAAAAGTCCACATTTTAACCTACTAAAACTCTTGGAGTCCTTGAAAGAGTCCTTACCTTGGCTGAGACCTTTATGATGGTCAGATAGAGGAGAGTAACCTGGAGACTCCAGTACTTCCTGGAAGGAACAAAAGTGAGCAATTTATTATATCAGAATCAGAAATCCTTTATTAGTCCCATAGCAGGGACATTTACATATATATGTCCTAGTCTTAGAATAAAACGTTGCTGGTCGAAGTCATGTAGTATGTATGGTAAATCAGTCCTCTGTGTTATCTTTTCTGTAATCAAGAAACAAAAATCGGAATCGGAATCAGAAATCCTTTATTAGTCCCACAGTGGGGAAATGTACATTGTTACAGCACACGTGGCATATAAGCAAAAGTGGCATAGCAGGTAAAAAACATTGCATGTCATACTACACAATAAGCTAATATATTAATATATAGAAGAAAAGCACACATTAGTTATACTAGAATAAAGTAGTTATTTAGTTCTCATGTATTCAGTGAACACTTTCTCAAAGCTTGTCTGGAATGCAAACCAACAAGAGATTATAAAAAAACAAACCACAAAGGCATGCATTCAACTTTCAAACTGGAGCTTTTGCACGTGTACAGAAAGAGCTATAGATTTAGATATAGCTCTCATGATGTAGTCAACATTACAACTTTTAAAGAGACAGTTCATGCCAAAACTAATCATTCGAACTCTAAAAGCCAAGTGCTATCTATTTCCATTATATCCAATACATCAATTATAGAGGCATTTCTACGGCAGATATAGGCGAACAGTCCCTTTAACACTGTATATGTACACTTGTTCAATTGATTGTCTCCGTTGACCTCTTTGACACATATACGGACGCTTTTCCCCGTTAACCACCTGCTCTTCTCTTCCTGCTAAGCAGCTGCCCCTGATTGTCTGCAGCATCTATAGAGACACCCATAGTACTGCAACATGGCAGCTAAGTGTTAGCTACCAAGCGCACGCACGCACGCACGCACGCACGCACGCACGCACGCACGCACACACACACACACACACACACACACAGATCTTAACAACCAGTTACTGCTTTCACCTATTGATCTTCTGAGTAACCACTTGCTGCCCGTGTGTCCTGCAATTACTTAAATACAGCCGATCAATATCAAGGCGGATCATAAGGGTTTTCTTGTGTGAGATCGTTGTTCCCTAAAATTAGTGCAATTCTACCAATAGAGTTGCGAAGTCCCTCCCCTTCCGGTGGACCTCCATGGGACCTTATTTCGGAAAGAATATGTATTGAAGTCAATGGAGAGAGAAAGATTATCTTTCCATCCCGTTTGAATTGTGCCACGAATTACACATATGATGTTTGTCAATTTAAAAGATAATTTTGCAAGTCAAAAAAAAAGAAAATGTGTCGTAAAACTGTAAAGTAACACATTTTTTTGTGTGAAACGCTCAATGAACTACATCTTTTGCACAACAACACACGTCACCAAGATGGCCGTCACTATCACCACAATGAAACACGTCCAGAAGAATGTCATGCAAAGCTGCCTGCCTGCCTGCCTTCCATTGATTCTCTCTGAACTGCCTGATATTGTTAATGTTTAATGTCAACCATTTGTGCAGATAGCATGAAGTAGAAAAGATCGCCGAAGCTAATGTAGCATTAGCGTTAGCATTTCTCCCCCGGGCTTAAATGGTGTATTATAGAATGATCACACGGTGTGACAGTACTCTTCAAAGGGTTCACGAAATATGACTACTACTCTTACTGTTTAACATTTTGGGTTACTTAATGTTACTTCATGTTAAGGCTAATAAAAATGACAAGGCTAAGCCGGCTGTAATGCTAACTAACGTGCTTGCTACTAGCTAGGTAGCTAACTTGATCCAGCCACTCCTGGTCCTTTCATCAGACGGGAAGCGAAAGAACGAGCAAGACCCATTGCTGGTATGATAACAACCTGGTACTAAGCACACAGGCATCTTGTTAAAGTTATCTTATCTTAGCTATCTCTATTTTAGTGGAGGAAAACAATTGTGACATCAGTTATGAGTGACATCACTTACGCGACCCTGGGATTTGTAGTCTTTCTAGTTGCGTATTTTTCATAGTCTTATATTTCAACAGTTTTACGACAAACTGTGACTTTTTTGACATGGGAATGATTTTTTAAGATTGACAAACATCATATGTGTAATTCATGGCACAATTCAAACGGGATCGAAAGATAAGTTTTCTCTCTCCATTGACTTCAGTACATAATTTTTCCGAAATAAGGTCCCATGGACCGGAAGTAGATAGGCGGGACTTCGCCACTCTATAGAGTGGAGCAGAAATTAGTAAAAAAGTGTTTTTGCTTAGATGCCTGAAATATGCTAATACAATAGCTAATAGAGTGGTTGACGTATTTACCCGGAAATAAGCTGCGCATGGGTTCCCTCGACAAAAAAGCAATGGGATTTCTCCATAGGATTTTGGAAAATAGCTCGAAATAAGGTCTGTGGAAAACGAACCTGTTAGATAAATGCACGTTTTGTTCAGCCGGATAATATCCACATGTCTACCCTACTTTTATAATTTTCTAATCATAAATCTAATCGCCAGAAGCAAAATGGTAACGTTATGCTATAAACGAACTACAGCAGTGCTACAGCAGTGCTTCAACGTCACGCCAACTTAAAGGTCCCATATTATGCTTTTCCGGTTATTACCCGTCCCCTTATGTGTTATGAAGGTTTTTATGCATGTAAACGGTCTGCAAAGTCACAAACCCTCAAAGTACACCCTGTAGCGAGTACAACTCTAACACAGAAAAGACCTGTCTATGCTGCCCCAGAATGCCTCGTTGGAGATTTCTCTTTTCCCATTGTTTTCTTCCTGGGTACAGTGACGAAACTGTGGCGCGCTTACACTGTAGGTGCGCCGCGTTTGGGAGTGTGTGGGGGGGGGTTGCGGATTGCTAGTGGAGCCTCGCAGATGGGGGTGCTGCAGCCCCCTCAGCATCCCCCCCTTCCCGCGTCCATTCGCGATGTCTCACTGTCTCGCAGACCCCACGCAGCAAGCAGGAAATGAACCCAGCTCACACTGTCCGCTTCTCGCAGCAGCGAGCCGCGCAACGTCCCGCCAACACGGCACCCAGACACCACGCAGCATTCTCATCTGTTTGTCATTACTGGTGTCATTTTCTGGTTGCTAACGCCATTGTAACACATAATCACTGATGTTCCGCTGTAACGGTGGTAGACCATAGTCTACGGCGATGAAATAAAGAGGACCATGGCCAGGTAAATAAGATTAAGCTGTTCCTTTAGCCCCCAGTAATGTTACATTAGTAAATTAACAAGTAAATTATATATAGCTGATGTAATTTAATCATATTATTTCATATTTAAAATAAGTCTTAATTTTTCTGTACTAATAAAACAATATGTTTTTTTAAATGAACAAAAGCATGTTGTATAGATTGATTCTTAAAGGAGAGGTGTCATGCTTTTCCGGTTATTACCCGTCCCCTTGTGTGTTATGAAGGTTTTTATGCATGTAAACGGTGTGCAGAGTCAAAACCCTCAAAGTACACCCTATAGCGAGTAAAACTCTAACACAGAAAATACCTCCCCAAAACGCCTCGTTGGAGATACGTCATTGTCCATTTGATTCTTCCGGGACGGCATGATGTCAACCCGTACCCGGAACGAAATGGACCAATCCGTGGAGCCGTTACGTTACGTCCGCGGAGCCGTTACGTTAAGCCCCCGCTGATTGGTCCAAATTGACCAATCCACGGACTTCCTCACACACACATCTGTGTGCAGGGAGCAGGCAGCTCAGCTGATTTCTCCTCCCTGGCTGCAGGCTGATAACAGACAGTTGGGATCGCGGCGAAATTCTCTCTGCAGACCCATTCTCACAGCGTTTATCAACCTTTTTCTTACTCAATATCAAGCCACACTTATTGTTTTTACTTCGGATGTGAGTTTGTGTGTGCTCAGGATGAGTTTGGCTGTGTTTCGCTATGTATCCTAAACAAGGAAACAACACCTCCACGGAGCTCAGCGCGATTCACAACGTCCCGACCAATCAGAGCACGCTGTGCTCACAGGGAGGGTGGGGGCTGGAGCTTTGGGAGCTACAACGAGCCGTTAAAGGCAGAGAGTGAAATTCAGTGAATACAAGTAGTTTACAGAGATGCTGTATGAGAAACCAATGTGAGTTTGGAAAAATGCACAGTATAAATCTATTTTAGTATACCTCAACAATGGAATTATGATCAGTGGAAATGGCCATGACACCTCTCCTTTAACAATATTAGTGTTCTAATCTTAATAGCTGTGATTATAACAGTTTATATTCTCCTTCTTCCCCTAAACCAGCCCAGATGATGTCCCACTGACGCCAGGTCAGCACATCCGGGTCCAGCAGCACCGTGACCCCCTGCTCTGCTGAAATACACAATTAAACATTTTCTATTACCTATTTTTTGTATTAATAAAATTAAACTGAACTTAAGACAGTTAACTTAAGAGGATGTTCCTGATCTCCGTTTTGCTTTTTCCAGTACCTCGGGGTGTCCAGGTGGATGGCAGCTCTGTCCTGATGATCCGCTGTGCACTTTTCAGATTAGGGGTCCTTCTCTAGCATAGATAGATAGATAGATAGATAGAATCAGAGGGATGAAACCCCTCTTTAATGGTCACACATGCAGAGCACACAGCACACAGTGAAATGTGTCCTCTGCATTTAACCCATCCTAGTACCAGGAGTCTAGTACTAGGAGCAGTGGGCAGCTAGTGTACAGCGCCCGGGGAGCAATGGGAGTGAGGGGGGAAGGGGGGTGTCCGGTGCCTTGCTCAAGGGCACCACGGCAGGGCCCAGGAGGTGAACTGGGACCTCTCCAAGTAGCAGTCCACACTCCATATTTTGGTCTGTTCGGGGACTTGAACTGGCAACCCTACGGCTCACAGTCCAAGCCCCTACTGACTGAGCCACTGCCGGACACAGCAGATCCATTTCTCCAGAATTGTCCTAATTACAGAGAAAAACAAGAGAAAAAGAAAAAAGTGAATTAATCATATTAAACACAGGGTTCCAAAAGTATTATTGCAAAATGTAACTCTAAGCATTTCAGACAAACAATCCTTAAAGGATCATTTAAAATGATGTACTGTTTTGGTTTTTTAAAAAACTAAAGAGATGAAGTGACAGTCACACTTGCATTCCTTTGACAGCACTGCACAAACTAACATCAAGCAAAAGGCTGCTGTCTATTTTTGATTGTCTTATTATTATGGGATTAGGATAAATTAAATAAACTTTAACCTAAATAAAAGATGATCAAATCTGGTGGAAATATTTAAAATAGGCTTTTTTTTAGCCCTACCTCAAAGCAGCATGAGCTGAATAAAAAGGTTGTAATGTTGTCCCCAAGTTTAATAAACAGTAAAACATTGCAACATGTCAGAGAAATAAATAAAGCAAACAGCAGCTACACGTCAGGGTAGCATTTTATAAATCCCATCGTACTAGTGTAGACTATACAGGTGTAAATGTTTTCACTTTGGTCTATTTATGTAATATAAAGTATAACTTATCTATAACAGAGCCAAGATCTCTGTATGACTTTAGTAAACTTCTGAATTGAATTAAGAATAAGTGTGAACGAACAGTGCAGTACGTTCAGCTAACTAGTTACTAACGTCACGTATTTATCCGTATTATTTAACGAACATGTACGTTTTAATGCCCCTTGGGTTTGACGTGTGTGACGTTAGTTAATTTAAAGTAAGTTAAAACCCAATACTCACATTTATTAGTGATTCCTCTGCTTGCTGATGCTTTTAAATCCACTCTGCTGGGGAGACCGGACAGCCATTTCATTTGAAAAAAACTCACTCTTCCCTGCGCGCATTGCACCCTGAGATATGGTAGACCGCGAAGGATACATCAGATGTATCCTTCAAATCCGGGAAAAGAAGGCTGCATTCGTGGGCCGCATTCGGAGGAGTCTCGTCTTTTTTTTAAATTGGGACAGCCTTCTTTCGGCGGAAGTGACATATGCGGTCTACAAATGCAGCCTCCGAAGGGTGCAGCCCCTGAATTGAGACACGGCCAACGACTGCTAAACATCTTTACGGCAAATATTAGCCACCTTTAACTTAGTGGTGGTGCTGTGCCTAACGTTAGCCTAAAACCTCTGGTAATTGCAATTACGCTTCAAAAATCATAAATTATCAAGTAATGGTTATATGTAGAGAAAATATTGCTGAACTAAACATGAGAGTATCATAAACATGTTTGCCACAGAGCTTATTTTCTGAGTTATTCGAAAATCCAATAAACAAATTCCCATTACTTTTAGGCCACGTACAATTTTAAAGTATTTTCTAACTCGTTATTGATCACTTACCCCTGGGTGGCTGTATAGTAGAAAGCCGTCCTGATGGGTTGGTGTCTGCGTGGGGGAGGCAGCAGCTGACCGGTTGTGATAAAGGCTCTCAAGGTCCAACTCTACATCCGAATCTCCAAACTCTGAGTCCGAATCCTGGCTTGAGTACTTGTCAAGCGCTAGAGGTGACATGGAGGCACCATCTGTGCAAAATCAGAAATTATTTTAACAATTTATAGCTTGTAATAACACATTGCGAAGTAAAAATGTTGCTCCTTGTTACAACAGGAACCGGTCAACACTTGAAAAGCTGCCATTCCAGATTTGGGTCTACATACCTGGACTCTGTACTATTTACTCAAGGTGAGGAAAAGTTAGGGTTGTGAAATTCCATAAAAACAGAAAATGTGACCTCTCTGTTTGTTTCTCATCTCTCTTTCTCCATCCTCTCTGTGTCACTGCTTGTTGCTGTATCGCCATCCTCGGCATAAACTCTGACTCACACACTCTTGTGAAGGCTCTCAGCAGCGTGCTCACACACACACATAACACAAACAAGCCTTTCTTATACCCTCCCACATAAGTGCAGGCTTTGAGTGCTACTGCTGAGGTTTTACTCTGGAAAACAGGGTCATGAATGAACTTGGTATGCCATTTATGTGTATGTGTGTGAAAGAGGAAAATAACATAGTCATGAATAGGAAGATATTTTTAGAAGTGTGTGCCGATATGCTTCATGTATGTTCTGCATTAAACTCCAAGTTTAATAAGTAACTGATCAGTGAATCAGTAACCAAAGTAAGGCCGATAACATGAGGAACGGAGACAGTGTGAGCAACATTTGTTCATTTAATGTGATAAGAGAGAGACAATATCATTATGATTACTTAAGGCTGCTAATGGCTAACTCTAAATGATGTACAAAAGTATTGTGGTCTCTTTCTCAGTTTCCATGTTTTAATACAGGTCACATTTTCATGTCATTAAAGTGGAAAAAAGAGCCCTGTAGTCGTGGGAACAGCGTGCATGTTCTCTTTGATCTTACAACAACTTTTGTTAACTGCATTTCTAATTCTAATCTGATTACAATTATTTTTGAAAGAAACATGAGAATGAACAAATAAATGGGTAAGCCGGACTTTTCCAAAGCAGATTACATGTACAGTTGGAATTAAGATTGGAATTTTCCCACAACTCTAAAAGCAGCATTTATAGATTGTTAGGGCCACAATATCTGTTAACAGAACACTGACATTGTATCATCATAATGGAGTTAATTCGGTAAACTTGATAATAAACTGATGATAACCATGGTAGAGAAACAAACCAGTTAAGTTTCTGTTTCCGTGAAAACCAAATTGGTTCAAATAAAAGATCCTGAAATGCTCTGTAGGGTTGAGGGGAGTGATTTTTGGATTTTTTAAGGACAAATATTAAAAAAATGTAAGAAGAGTGTTTTAAACACATATAACAAAAACGATTCTAAGGTACATAACCCTTCCTAGCATTAGCACATGTTGTGTAGCTAACAACAGCTTTAGCAAAACTTCTCCATATAGTTTTGTTGCATAAATCTAAAAAACGTTGTAGGGCAATGTTGTAAGATTGTTTGCATCTAATGAATGTACATTTCCTGTGAACTCAGAAGTTTCTTTTTTTAAAAGACTCTGCATATAACTAGCCAAAATGAACAGGCCATTCTTGAAAAGTCCAAAAACTAACTTAAGTGGGGTACTGTACTTTGAGCATCATAGTTTGAAGTATAGGGCCCCTGACCAAGCTGCAGTATTGACAATGATTTAGAATGTTATGCAACCACTTTAATATGTTTGCGAGTGTTTACCTGCGTGACTTAAGGCCTCCACCATCATATGAATGATCTCCTCCTTCAGAGGGCTGCTGATGTTAACAGCATAGTGGATAGCAGAACAGCCGCTGTCGTCTCGTACGCGCAGATCACTGATTAACAAGTTTAAAGGCAGATGGAACACGTTGAGTTGATACAGAACTACAGAAATGTACATATACATTTACATTTGGTACACCAACGTTAGCAATCTCAAGCTCTATTAACTACATTCAAGATAAAACCTCTTTGGACAAAGACAAAATAAATAGAGATCTGGCAGCTGACTCTTCAGAAAATGTGTGTGTCGTGAGTATCTAGCCTTTTGAATGCATGCATGAATGTGTGTTTCCTTACGGCGAGAGTCCCAGCAGTTCCTTGACCACTTCCAGAGGTCGGTGTTCCCATGTCAACCGTGTAGCAAGGTCTTCAAACAGGTCAATGTCCCTGACAGCGAGCATCACACCGCCGTCACACCGTCACTGTTCGGAACATTCACATCCACCCTGTCTGTCTGAGCCTAGGACATGAAGACACACACAAACATTAATATTAAATGGACTTCAGCACCTCGTTTGGCAAGTGCTGAAGTGAGTGTTACTCCTTTTACGCTTAGACGCACCAAAGTTCTCTCAGAGCCGTGGCTCAATGACTGTACTCGTGCTCTCAGACGCGCTTGCAGGCGTGCTGAGAGAAAATGGAAGAAGGATAAACTCCATGTCTCCCTAGAAATCCTTCTAGTCCAGGTCCTTTTTAATGTCCTTAACTCTATCATTAATCCCTGTGATGTATCCTCAATTGTGCCATCGACTACTCTCTGTGATAAGTTTCTTAAATGTTTTATCGAAAAAGTATCTGCTCTTAGGCTAGCCCACACTAGTGCTACCCCAGATCCTGCTCCTTCTCTGTGCCCTGCTGTCCTCGACCAGTTTGAGCCTGTATCCCTCACTTCTCTCGCGGATGTAGTCAAGCACCTGCGGCCGACATACTGAACCTCAGACAGCATTCCCTCTCGTTCCCTGATGTTTTCGAATCAGTTGGAGCAAGCATTTCATTACCAATAAACACCTCTCTTAGCTCAGGATGCGTCCCAGCTGCCTTTAAACATGCCGTGGTGCAGCCACTACTTAAAGAGAAAACCTCGACCCCTCCATTCTCGCAAATTTTAGGCCCATCTCCCAGCTACCTTTTTTATCTAAAGCCCTGGAGCGAGTAGTCTATGTCCAGCTGCAGTCGTTCTTAACCATGCATGGCATTCATGAAAAGTTTCAGTCTGGCTTCAAACCTATGCACAGCACTGAAACAGCCCTTTTAAGAGTTGTTAAAGATCTGCTCCTAGCCGCCGACTCAGGTAGCCCAGCTGTCCTGGTGCTGTTAGACCTGACAGCTGCCTTCGACACTGTGGACCATAGCATCCTGTTGTCGCGGCTTGAACAGTCCGCAGGTATCACAGGCTCTGCCCTTGCATGGTTCAGGTCCTACCTGACAGACCGTAGCTTCTCAGTACAGCTAGGTGCTTTCTCCTCTGCTAAAGCCCCTCTTACCTGTGGGGTTCCCCAAGGCTCTATCCTGGGCCCCATCCTCTTTTTACTGTACATACTGCTCCTAGGTTCAATTCTCACTAAACACAATATTCCGACGATGTACAGATCTATCTGCCTCTCTAAGCAAATGTCAAACACTCACTACAGCAGTTGATGGACTGCTTGATAGAGATAAAATCCTGGCTGAGCAAAAATGTCCAGAGGTAATCTTTTTTGGACCCCAACCTCCATTACATTACATTGCATTTAGCTGACGCTTTTATCCAAAGCGACTTACAATAAGTGCATTCGACCAAGAAGATACAAACTTGAAGAAAACAGAATCATATAAGTACATCAAGTTTCATAGAGCCAAACCATTTCAAGTGCTACTCAACTGGCTTTAGATAAGCCAGTCCTTTATTAGTATATAAGTGCTTTGTTAGTAATTCTTTGTTAGTAATTCTATCGCTCGAAGTGGAGTCGAAAGAGATGAGTTTTCAGTCTGCGCCGGAAGATGTGTAGGCTTTCTGCTGTCCTGATTTCAATGGGGAGCTCATTCCACCATTTTGGAGCCAGGATAGCAAACCGACGTGTTTTTGCTGATGGGAACTTGGGTCCCCCTCGCAGTGCTGGTGCAGCGAGCCATTTGGCTGATGCAGAGCGGAGTGCACGTGTTGGGGTGTACAGTTTAACCATGTCCTGGATGTAGGAAGGGCCAGATCCATTCGCAGCATGGTACGCAAGTACCATTGTCTTGAAGTGGATTCTAGCAGTTACTGGAAGCCAGTGAAGGGAGCGGAGGAGCGGCGTGGTGTGGGAAAATGTTGGAAGGTTGAAGACCAGACGAGCCGCTGCATTCTGGATGAGCTGCAGAGGTCGGATGGCACATGCAGGTAGACCAGCCAGGAGGGAGTTGCAGTACTCTAGGCGTGAGATGACGAGAGCCTGGACCAGAAGTTGCGTCGCTTTCTGGGTCAGGAGGGGACGTATCCTTCTGATGTTGTAAAGGGTGTATCTGCAGCAGCGGGTTGTAGCAGCGATGTTTGCAGTGAAGGACAGTTTGTTATGTAGGGTCACACCCAGATTCCTTGCAGTCTGAGTCGAGGAAACAATAGAGGTGTCGATGTTGATTGTTAGGTCAAGAGTGGGACAATCTTTTCCCGGAAGGAAAAGCAGTTCAGTCTTGTCAAGGTTGAGCTTGAGGTGGTGAGCAGACATCCACTGAGAGATGTCAGCTAGACAAGCAGAGATGCGTGCGACGACCTGGGTCTCTGAGCGGGGAAAGGACAGAATTAATTGGGTGTCGTCAGCGTAGCAGTGGTATGAAAAACCATGCGGGCTAATGACCGATCCGAGCGGGTTTGTGTACAAGGAGAAGAGGAGGGGACCAAGAACAGAGCCCTGAGGGACCCCTGTAGTTAATTGACAAGGGTCGGACTCGGACCCTCTCCAAGTTACCCTGTAGGTACGGTCTTTGAGGTATGAGGTGAGGAGGGAAAGTGCAGAGCCTGAAACTCCAAATTCTTGGAGAGTGCGAAGGAGGATCTGATGATTCACCGTGTCGAATGCAGCAGACAGGTCCAAAAGGATGATGACAGAGGAGAGGGAGGCTGCTTTAGCAGTGTGCAGTTCCTCAGAGACAGCAAGGAGAGCACTTTCTGTGGAGTGACCTGCCTTGAAACCAGACTGGTGCGGATCCAGAAGGTTGTTCTGATGGAGATAACAGGAGAGTTGTTTAAAGACAGCGCGTTCAAGTGTTTTAGACAGGAACGGGAGGAGAGAGACAGGCCTGTAGTTTATAACATCAGACGGGTTGAGAGTGGTTTTCTTTAGGAGAGGGTTTACTCTTGCCTCCTTGAGACTGTTTGGAAAGTGACCAGAAGTTAGAGAAGTGTTGATGAAATCGGTGAGAAACTAAGCTAAATTATAGATTGTTTGATTGTGTAATTACAAGGTGAGAAAATAAATCCACATCCTCCTATGAAACTTATTTTATTTCCTTTTTCATGTTATACTTATACTTACTTGTATTAGAACATTTGCATGTTGAACTACATGCTGATATATCTTCCCCAGCCTCAAGGAAATACAATAAAATAAATGGATTCATAATTTTAAAAAATTGATAAAAATGTATACATTAATAATGTTGTGTGCAAACATTTCAAATTTAAATACAAAAGGAACTTTTGAAATGATTTCTCACAAAAACCTTTCTAAATTATAGTAAATTATTAAAAAAGGTTTAGTCAATATACATTTTTCTGCCTAAAATTGTTGAAATTGAACGTAAACTACATCAAACACCACATGCATGGCAATTAACCAATTTTTGCCCGCTATTTAAATTGACTTTGGTTGAAGTTAAGTGATATTATATATACAGTATAGCAGGGCTATTCAATTGGCGGCCCGCGGGCCAAATCCGGCCCCGGGGTGATATTTACTGGCCCTTTGAGTATAATGTTAAAAAGTAATCAATTTTTTTTTTTTAAGATTTTTTTTTTAAAAATGTTTTGTGCCATAGTGCCTTTATTCCAGAGAGGGTGTTACATTGAGAGATAGAGGGGTAGACAATGCCTGAAAACTTCGACGGGCTCGGGTTTCGAACCCACCTACTATACTGTAGTGACAACTCCTGTCATTGATTGCATCTCTGCGTGAATGATTAGATCATTTCACCTAAATGAAATCAAATGAAACATGTAAGCCTACTGAGTTCTGAACTTGCCATTTAGATCTATAAAGGCCTTGGGGCTATGTTGTTTGATTGAATTAAACACAATATATGCACTCCACTATGCTGTTGTAGTATTTACTGTATCTGAAGCTCTTAAATATGATTGCTCATATTTCAAGCCATCTTTTTCCCGGCCCCTTGCTTTGGATCATTTTCATCAACCGGCCCCCATTCCAAACTAATTGAATAGCCCTGCAGTATAGCATATCATTGATGCAGTCTTTCTGAACACTTTTAAAATAAAATACTGCAAATGAAGAATATTTTTAATGTTCTGCACAGATAGTGCTAACTTGAATTTGAAAACACGTGGCAACTTTATTAATACAGCAGTTGAAAAGATTTGTGGAAGGATAAATTCTTCATGGGCTCTCTAGATAAAGGGCGTTTATGGTTGCTTGTATTATCCTCAGATAGTGGTTTGTTTAAATAACTAGTGACATTTGAATAAATATTGCAAAAAAGGGCTCCAAAAAAGGCATATATATATATATATATAACCTGGCCGGCTTAACCAGTCTGTATTTCTTCAAGCACCACAAGATTCAGAGTTTATAAAGTAAGTACACAGTAAAAGTACTTCATAGTACATGTGGGGGTAGTTTCACTAGGATCAATCTCACGAAGAACTAATGGCAACAAAAAATAATTCCCTCATCAAACTTAGGAGAAGTGGCTTGATTTTGTTCTCAGGAGGGGACTTTGACAGAGCATTTCTCCAAAAAATACACAGTAAAAGTACTTCAATGTATTGTTAGTAGCAGTCAAACTAGTACCGAGTACAACAGTGTCAGTTTAATTAAGAACTTCTGGTAAAAACTATTTGTAAAAAGAAAATGAAGAACTGCTGACTTGAAAAAACAAACGCGAGAGACGGCTGAGTTGACCGCAGTGCAGAATCGCTGTATAGTTTAAATCTCCTAACAATGTTGTCCATTTTAGACATAGGCTTATTATATTTACAGCCCTTAATAACATTCATTTTCACATCCGTGAGTTTCGCCCCGCCCCCCTCGCTCCAATGACCATTAGACCATTTAGTAAAGTAAAAAACAAAAAGCAAAAACGCCTCGCAGACGCTCTTCCGTTTACTTTTTTAATAAAGAAAAACAAATGGTCCGAAAATACACGGATTCATCTCCCTCCATCATGTTGATTTGAATCAGAAGTTCTGATGAGCCCGCCCCGCTCGACCTTCTGAGCCAACCACAGCGCGATAATGACCTGCCTTCCGTTTCAACTATAGTCCTTCCGTTTCCACTATACTTTCTCTCCCACATACATACATTCTTCTCTTGCATACATATATTGTCTTCAGACATGCATATATTATTTATAATATTAAATGTAAACATTGAATGAATGTGCATGAGAACAAAATGTATAAATATGAGCGTTAAAATATGTGAATATGAGAGCAAAATGTATATATGTGTGAGTGAAAAATGTATGAATATGTGAGTGACAATATATGAATGTGTGCATTGAAATATGATAATATGAGAGCAAAATGTATGAATGTGTGAGTGTAAATATATATGTGTGTGAGTGAAAATGTATGTATGTAAAAGGAGAATGTATGTGTGTAAGAGTGAAAATATATGTATGTAATAATAATAATAATACATTTTATTTTTATAGCGCTTTTCTAAACCCAAAGACGCTTTACATTTGGGGAAGGGTAGACAAACAAGGACAGGCAATAAAACAACAACAAAACAAAAACAAAACAGAAAAGCAGTCAAGAGGAAGTTGGTTGAGAGGGGGGGGGCTTATGGATATACAGACTTGAAGAGATGGGTTTTGAGGCGGGACTGATTAGTAAAAGGAGAATGTATGTGTGTGAGAGGACCAGTATGAATTACGGCCTGTACGGCCCCTCATAAATGGGGAAACATAGTACACATAAATATACATATACATGTTAACTTTAATGCCTTGCAGATTTACTTATAGCTATACTTTACTTAAAAAGCTTTTTAAAAATAGCTTATTTCACCCCAAAAGGATCTCAAAGCTTTCTGGAAGTATGAATAATTAAATAATTCAAAAAACAACTCATAAACATAAACAAAACTATTTGCCTTTCTTTTAATTTCAGTACATTTTAGTTTAAATACTAACAATAAATCTGTGTGCCATGGATGTAAATACAGTTTGTGACCACTCATAAAAACGTACAGTCTTCCATTGTTCACGTATAGGCGGCTATTTATATTACTCTCATTGTTTGAATGAAAGCACCTGCAGAACAAGTGAAACACTTGTTCGGAGCTTAATATAACTTAGAAACACATTTTCTTTTTCAATCAACTTGAAAAAAGTTGTTGATATTATTCTAGTTCAAAAATATAGATTATATCCCCTAAAAAAACATTCTTCAGAGGCTTATACATATATTTATGACACGTGAAATAAAATACTGTGCTATGACCTTTTTTACAACTTACTGCACTATGAATTGTTTATGATTCCTTCATGATATATTATACTATGCCTTTTTATTGATTTTGTGGATGACAAAGGATACTTTTTTTAATTAGGTTTTATGACATACTATACTATGTATTTTTTAAATAATATTTTAAATGACATACCATTCTATAACATTTGTCATGTATTTGTCATACTAGACTATAGGCTAGCTATAGCTATATGTTATATACTTAACTTGTTATGACATATACTATGACCTCTCCTACTCACTCTATATGTGTGTGTCTTACCAGCAGGAGCTGTAAGGAGTGCAGGTCTCCCTGCCAGGCAGCCTGCAGCAGCTGGGCCTGGGGGGGCAGATGAGGCCTCGACATCCACCCCAGCACTTTCCCCTGGAGCTCGGGGGAGCTGATGTGGAGCGCTGTCTGCTGGCTGCGGTCACACAGGGTCAGATCGCCCCCCCCCCCTCAGCAGCCGCTGCACCACCTGTAAACACCAGCAGCAGGTAAAACAACACGCAACACACACCCACAATGAGTAGACTTTAACCTGTTAAACCCGGGGGCGTGGGCTCCCGCAACATCTTGCAAGAAACAGCGTCTGAGGGCTTCTTAACATTTAATAAACTATGAATGTGTCATACCCACTTAGCGGGAAGAAACTCAGCTACCTGACAATATAAACCATTTTTACCGAAACAAAACACAAGTCTAACGCCGAGCCTCTGAATTAGCACTAAGCGAAAGAGTGCTAACGCATTTAGCACATAACTCACGGTAGAAATATTTTATACTTCATCGGATCTGCACTCACAAGATATCATATGAAAGCTGAGATTCCACATATTCCAATGGTATAAGTATCATCACTGTGCGACAAAACTTGCGGCAGCGAAAGCCAGCAAAGACAACACGCAACTTCACTTTACGGGGCCAAAACGGCAAATACGTCTTACTTTTTTTATCAAAAGTTGTGTTCAAGGGCATTACAACACATATAAACGCTGCTGAAGGTTAATCCAATGTCTCTGTGTCACTTTGAAATGATTACTGATAATCCATCATCATATTTATGTCAATAAACTGAGTTTTCATATAGAGCAGCGGTTCCCAACCTTTTTCAACTGGGTGCACTTAAGAATCAAAAAATGTTTTGCTGCCCACATTCAACCATAAACAATACGGAGGCTAAATAAAGTTCTGATTGGTCAATTCAGAACATGTGACACGTTGTAAATCCAGTAGTACAGACCGCTGTCAAGGACTGAATGACCGTTGCTAAGGAGGATCGAGAAAGAGAAAGGAAAAGAGGTTCAAATTAAAAAAAAATCTTAATAATGAAAATGTTTCCACACGAATCATAATGTTTTGCAAATATTGAATTTACATTTAAACCCTTTAATATTTTATTTGGGCTTTTATATGAAGACCGCACACAGTTAATAAATAAAACTATTCCTCTGGCTAAAATACATATTTTTAAAAGTCAATCAAGGAGTAATCTTAATTTAAGGTGTTAGAAGAGTAGCTTAAAAATACAATTTATTTTGGAAAAAATTATTGTCACAAAAAATCAAGGGGTGGCTCAACACGCCATGAAATGGGAAATAATTAGCTCTAACGAAGAGTGGGATTAAAGGAACAATAAATATGCTTGCCATGTTGTGTTTTTGGTGGTATTTGGTTGTCATCCTATTTTTGTTTGTGAAATATTGAAGTGATCCTGACTGTATCTTTATTTCTTCTGTTTTTGTTTTGTTTGAGATGGGAATGTAATCTCCTATATTTTATTGTTATGTCCATGTTTGTGTCATTTGCCTGTACAAAAAAAAAAATAAATAAATAAATAATAATAATAATAACAATTAAAGCTGCAAGCAGCGTTGAGCGGGTCTTCGACGGACAATGTATTTAGGAGTTACAGCAGTATCATAAACATTGTGTTTGATGGCGAGTGATCTGTCACCATGGCAACGGAATTTGATGACACCCCATAATACGCCTAGATGTGTTGAGGGCTGCATCGTTATCAAACCTGTGAAGTTTTGGGCCGTTTGGAGCATGTTAACTGGAGTTATGAGAAAACCGTGTTTCACGGCGACCATTTTGTTACCATAGCAACGACATTTGACGAAATCTCAAAACTGACACATATATGTCTCGAGGGCTTGACCGTTAGCACACATGTGAAATTTCAACACTTTTTTACCATTTACACAGGACTTAAAGCAATATCGTGCTTAACGGCGAGGGATGCGTTGCCATGGCAACAGCTTTTGAGGAAAACTCACTATTGTCATATTGAGGTGTTGAGGGCCGGACCATTAACTGTCATCTGAAGTCTGGTGCAGTTTGGACCATTTTCCATCGAGTTATGACAACACTGTGTTTCATGGCGAGGGATCTGTCGCCATGGCAATGGCATATGATGACATCCCATAATTGGCGTAGAGCTGTTGAGGACCGGACCATTAACTGTCATCTGAAGTCTGGTGCAGTTTGGACCATTTTCCATTGAGTTAAGACAACACCGTGTGTCATGCCGAGGGATCTGTTGCCATGGCAACGGCATATGATGACATCCCATAATTGGCGTAGAGCTGTTGAGGGCCGGACCATTAACTGTCATCTGAAGTGTGGTGCAGTTTGGACCATTTTCCATTGACTTAAGACAACATTGTGATGTATGGCGAGGGATGCGTTGCCATGGAAACGGCATATGATGACATCCCATAATTGGCGTAGAGCTGTTGAGGCATGGACCGGTGATATAAAAGTGAAGATTGGGGGACGATGGGACCGTGTCCATTGGAGTTACAGCGACACCGTGTTTTATGGCGAGGGATGCGTTGCCATGGAAACGGCATATGATTACATCCCATAATTGGCGTATAGCTGTTGAGGGCCAGACCATTAGCCATCATCTGAAGTCTGGTGAAGTGTGGACGATTTTCCATTGAATTAAGACAACATCGTGTTTTATGGCGAGTGATTCGTTGCCATGGAAACGGCATACGGTGAGATCTCAGATTTCACGTAGAGCTGTTGAGGCATGGACCGGTGATATAAAAGTGAAGATTGGGGGACGATGGGACCGTGTCCATTGGAGTTACAGCGACACCGTGTTTTATGGCGAGGGATGCGTTGCCATGGAAACGGCATATGATTACATCCCATAATTGGCGTATAGCTGTTGAGGGCCAGACCATTAGCCATCATCTGAAGTCTGGTGCAGTTTGGACCATTTTCCATTGACTTAAGACAACATTGTGTTTTATGGCGAGGGATGCGTTGCCATGGAAACGGCATATGATGACATCCCATAATTGGTGTAGAGCTGTTGAGGGCCGGACCATTAACTGTCATCTGAAGTCTGGTGCAGTTTGGAAGTTTTTCCATTGACTTAAGACAACATTGTGTTTTATGGCGAGGGATCTGTCGCCATGGTAACGGCATATGATGACATCCCATAATTGGCATAGAGCTGTTGAGGGCCGGACCATTAGCCATCATCTGAAGTGTGGTGCAGTTTGGACCATTTTCCATTGACTTAAGACAACATTGTGTTTTACGGCGAAGGATACGTTGCCATGGAAACGGCATACGGTGAGATCTCAGATTTCACATAGAGCTGTTGAGGCATGGACCGGTGATATAAAAGTGAAGATTGGGGGACGATGGGACCGTGTCCATTGGAGTTACAGCGACACCGTGTTTTATGGCGAGGGATGCGTTGCCATGGTAACGCCATTATTAAGTAACATCACATTTGACGTAGAGCTGTTCAGGGCCGCAGTGTTAACCATCATGTGAAGTTTGGTGGCATTCTGAGTATGTCAGTTGGTGTTATGACATCATCGTGTTCCATGGCGAGGGATCGCCTAGCATCAAGCGAACGCGAACTTTGGCGCCAAATCACGGCTACGCTGTGCGAAAGAAAAAAACTTCCGTGATAACTTTTAATTGCCCATGTCTCGAGACGCTACCCGACGAATTTCGAGTCGTACGGATAAAGTCCCTGGGAGAAGATAGATTTTGTGCGGAGGACGAAAAAAGGCTTTTTTGTTCGTCTCCACACCCTAGATATGGGTAGCGAGTTTCGTTCGTTTACGTGAAAGTTAAAGTGCGGGGAGTTTACGTTAAGAGGGCGTGGCCTACATATCGCAAGTTGCACCACTTCTGACGCGCGTGCAAAATTTGGTGAGTTTTCACATATATTGCGGGGGTCAAAGGTTTATCGGTCGCTGTGCGACCGATTTCAATAGGGTCTTCGCCGACCTAGGTCTCAGACCCTAATTATTTGGCGGCCCACAGGTTGGGAACCGCTGATATAGAGTGTAGTATGAGAGCTGTAACCCAGCTTCCGGTTTTGGGCATGCTGGCTGCGCATCACTCTCATTCACCAATGGTAATGTTTAGATGGATTTAGGAACTCCCTCTCGATTCTATTGGCTCTAACGGTTCAAAAGTGCTGTCAATCATCAAAATAGACCGACGGGTCCCAGAGATATGGCAAATACACCCAAATGGCCCCAGAGGTGTTTTTTTTCTTCTAAACCTCTCTAAAAAGGTCAGATTTCACTTGTTTTGCATCAATCTTGATACAGGGTACTTATTATATGTTATAGTTTGGATCCCTAAAGCTTTTTGTCTACTATCCCATCATTCAAAGGTGGTTTTCATTATAAGTAATGGGGGTTTTTTTTGGACGGAAACTATCATTTACATTTTTTTACTTTAATTTAATTTAATCTGAATTTACTGTAAAATAAAAACATCTATATTGATTCTGACTTATCTACATCCAACTCACAGGTTTATCATTGCTTTGAGAAAAAAAGATTATTAATTTACCCCTTTTTGAAGTGAAGATAATAATCATTTGTCATTTTCAAGCCTGAAACCTGAAAAAACAGGCTCAGGGCTTAACAGGTTAATCAGTTGGAACATTTTCCATCAATCATTAAAATTATGCACTTGATTTCTTATTCTCATGGTTATTTTCTCCATTCCATGTATTTTATTTACAAACCTTCTGTTTATATTTAAACCGATTCCTTGTAATTTGTTTGATTATTGATCATTATTACAAGGAATAAGTACAAATATTTCTTCCAAGTTATAGTATAAGCAGGTTTTTATTTAGCGAAATACAAAAAATTGTTAATATTAGTAGATTTAGTCTACAGGTGAATAGGGTTAAAACGAACAGATATACCCAGTCAACTTTGGCAGTTTATTACTTACATTAGTTTTCAGAATGGTTATGCATTACGTATTTAATGCTAACTTTTGGTGAATTAAAGAGAAATCTACAAACAAAAATAGACGAAATGTAGTAATTAGACACCTAAATGTGCATTTTGGATGTTTAAAACCATTGATTTGATCTTAATTGATAAAAAAAGAATAGTCTTAAATGGCTAAATTCTCAATAATTAATCTTTAATTCAGTGTGACTCATCTCACGTCACAGGGGATCACAGGGGAGAGTGTCTCCCCTGGGTTACCAGTATACAGTAAGTCATGTGCTTGTTTTGAACATGCCCCCCCCCCCCCCCCCTGAGAGGGAGCAGAGGAGTTACGTAAGCACATGAACACATGTTGTTGTTATTGATAGGAAAAACACAACCTGTATGACGAACTTGTAATTTTCCATGCAACAATGGACTGACATCAGATCTGCTACCACAGCTAGGTGACCGAAGGTAAAACATGATTACACAACAATAGAATCTCACATACACACTTTTAAATTGCTTACCTGAGTTATTCCTATACGACAGGCGGTGATAAGTGGAAATGTTCCTTGTTCTTCCTCATCTTCAGTGTCGGAGACCCCCAGTTCCTCCTCTTCCTCATGGCTCATTACTGGGACCGCTTCAATTTCCTCTTCCTGCTCTTTTCTCAGCATCTTCTTGAAGCTGTTTCTCTTCTCGCTTTCCTGCATAGTTCACAGATTATCAGTCAGATCTGTGTGAAGCACAGCCAGACAGAGGTCAGACACAACTTGACCTTTTTCTTGTTGTTATGGAAAAAGACAAATGAGAAGACGAAAGAGTCAGGAAGTAAGTAATTGCACTCGCAGCACCGATTTATGGGAAGGGTTTCTTTCAGCGCAGTGTGATGCAAGTCTCTAATGATCAGATCAGCACAGTGGGCGTGATCGGAATTATTCCCTCACTTTTATTTTGCTGCTGGTGGTGAATCGCCATAATATACATACTCTTGGTGTGTGTGTGTGTGTGTGTGTGTGTGTGTGTGTGTGTGTGTGTGTGTGTGTGTGCGTGCGTGCGTGCGTGCGTGCGTGCGTGCGTGTGTGTGTGTGCGTGCGTGCGTGTCTATCCCTGTGGTTTAATGTTTGACAACACTAACAGAGCAACAGTCAAAGATGGCTGACATATGTTGTATATAAACACAATAAAAGCAATACACTCAACAAATATTCACAGATTTTCAGGAACTTGGAAGGCATTTCATATTTTTCATCAGCTTTGATAAGACTAACAACTATGCATTGCTATATAATTTTGAAATGAACTGTTCTTTACTCACTGTGGCGATGTCATGTTATGCTTTTAGCCCTTTTCTTTATATCCATTGATGAGATTCTGCAGCCATATTTCTTGTCCGACCCTCCGTGGACATTTGACGCGTAAACCTTTGATCCTTTAGAACAGACCCTCTGCTCCAGTGTCTGCTCTCCCTTCTTCTCTCCCCCTGCACACCTCCTGCTCTACGTTTACACTTGGTTGCCTTGGAGACAGGCAGACAGGCGGGTTTAAAAGCCAGCTGGCTGCTTGTAGCCTGACACAATAAGACCGAGTGGAATATCAAGTTATAGCAGCTTTTTTTAGAGAATCATTTCGTAAATTGCTGTGTAAACTTGGAGGAGCATGACTTGATATTCCTTGCTCGCCTGTGCTCCTATTTGCACTTGTTCACAGTTTAGAACTTTTGAAAACTTACAATTCTTAAGAAACAAACTACTTTTGTATACTAATTTTCCGATATGTGTGCAAACTGATTTAATGGAGCTCAATTATATAAAGTATGAGGAATCATGTTACCCTTTAAAATGGTTGCTTTGGTGCCCTTTTCAGGAAAAGAATGCGGACAAAAACATAAATAATGTCTCATCGAATACAAATATGAACATTATTTTGATCTTCCACCGAGTTAAATCTTTTAACCAAATTCATTTCTGATCCTAAATAACAAATATAATTCATTTTAAAATAATTTTAACCCTCTAAATGCCACTTTGTGCCACTGTATGATGAAATAAAATGACAGAAATGTATAACATACTTAATGCTAAGGGTATTTTTTACACAGTCCGGGATATGTCACTGATTAGCAACTTGTACTTTGATGCATTGCTTTAGAAAAAATACAATGCTCTATCATACCGCAGTTATAACCCAAAAAAACTGGAAAATATCATGAATTTTCCCCATAGGATAAACGTAACCTGGTGAAAATAGTAACAACGACAATTTTGAAACCAGGGCTCTAGACTGAAAGCATGTTATATCGTAATATAAGGCGTTGTTATATGCTGCATTGCCTTTCAATTAAATTGTTGCTTAAATTGGGACATTCAAGTGTCAAATGGCAAAAGCAAAAATTGTAATAAAAATGATCAAAACATGATTTCGTACCTTCCAGTAATATAATACTTACTTCAAGATGGTCTCTTTATGAGGATATGGAACAGCTCCTTATAAACAGGAAGAATATCTCTACACTTGCACTTGCTGACAAATATATTGCTCTACTGTGTATTGCTCTACATGTATTTTTTCTTTTAATGTTTCTTTTATTATCTTTTCTTTTAATGACTGTTTTTAAATGCCTTTGTCTGAATGTCTTTCATTTTTGTAAAGCACCTTGAATTGCCTTGTGTTGAAAGGTGCTATATAAATAAACTTGCCTTGCCTTGCCTTGCCTACTGACCTCTGTGGGTTGAAAGATATAAGTCTGATACATTTAGAAAAACCCCATGATGTAGTAGAGTAATGCCACAGTGCTACCATGCTGCACAGTTCATAATCATAGGTTAAACACATTTAAATGTGAGCTTTGTAATGAGCTTTGTAATCACCTTAGGAGTAATACATGCATATTGTTTGATATAATTGTGCACCTTTTCCTTTACAATATGATACGATGATACATTTTGTCAGTTCAATCATGATTTTTGTTTGCATCAAAGCAGCTCCATTTACAAATTTGACAGTTATATCACACTAATTAATTATCAGTTTTCGACTACCGAATGCCATTCATATAAACTAGCTTTTTGTAACGCTCCGGATGACCACTAGATGGCAGCGTTTCACAATTCTGTATATAATCCTGTAGCAGCGCACACATACACATACTGCTGTATCCACATGTATTACACTTCAACACACAGTATACTGCAATACCTTTTCATTCTTCCAATATCACATATGATGCATATTGACCTCTTTATGTTCAATAATAAGAAGATTCATGACATGATGTTTCCTGGATAGTATTTTTGGAATTGTGTGGCGTTTATTTTTCTTATCTCAGTTATAATCTAGATTCTAGTGCCTTCAAATGGAAGTTGATGGGGTTGTTTTCACTTTAAAAGTGATTTACTGGTATTATACTTTGCTGTCACAATAATTCCAAAATATATATTTAGTTAAGGTTATATTCCAGCACTTTTGTGTGTTTATTTAGTTTATCAAGTCATTAAGTGTTTTTCTATATGGGCTGCTTTGGCCGCTGTCTCAGATGAACCAATGGAAAAGTACCATTAGGAGTCCGGAGCCTCCTCCTCCCCTCCCCTCGCTTCCCCTCACGGCGCTGAAATTGCCTTGTCTGGAGTCTGTCCCGTGTCCCCGCCGCTCACCAACAGCCGTGTCCTCGCAGAGAGGAGCAGTGAACCCTCACACACACACACACACACACACACAGCCTGTCCGCTCCACCGGTCCCAGGCTGGTGCGTCCCGTTACACACCGTTTCTGCACACTCCAAAAGCGCACTCCGGATTTCCACCAAATCCTAAAGACTCATTGTGGTTGAGATAGCCACAACTTTCGGTCAGTATGTTTCACGTGTGGATGACAGCGGGTTTGTGACAGGAAGACTCCGGGGAGTTAGGACGAGTCTTGGCTCCACACCTCCCCCGCGGGTAGTTTGCGCAAGGTGATACAGCAGCTAAAGGATCCTTAACCGCGCGGCTGTATTACATGGATTTCTTCACATGATGTCACCCATTACTGAATGAGCTCCTGTCAGTTGTGCTCCTCTTCACTTCCTTCCCAAACTTCAGTCAGTGGATATTTGTGAGAGCAGCAGGATGGGATCGCAGAGCGGGGCAGCAGCAACGCACGCGCTCCTGTGGTTCATAGGTGAGTCCAACACTCTTCATTTCTCTCAAGCAATTGACTGTTCTTTGTGTGACTTTTGTAAAGTGTCTTTGAGTATTTTGAAAACGATAAATGAAATGTCATATTATTTTATATATATTATTACTCTCACCCATGTGATAAAGAGAAAAAAATCTGGTTATAGCCTAAATTATAACTTCTGGTTGGGACATATCAGACGAATTAATTTCCCTTATACAAAAAAGTGAAAACTGAATAATTAGGATGATTTATCTTGTGTCTGTTGAGGTTAAAATATGTGTGAACGATTTACTGTACTATTATTTACATAGACCATACATCACTACAATATTATGTGTGAATTTTGGCTGGTTTATGAATGACAAGTTTGATGCTGCGCTGGACTTTGCATTTTTGCACTAATAAAATTGAACCGTTTACTTTAATCAATGTCAAATAATTACACATAATCGTATAAGGTTAGTTGAAAGCAAACATATTAGGTGAAACTTAATATTATAGTGTTAACTTGATGACTTTTAGCAGGATAATTGTCTTTGTCCTTTATGTCATTGTCTCACTCTCGTTAGTGACCTAATCTGTGTGTTTGTTATGATATGCTGTCAAATGAATTAGTGTATTATAGTATCTGCCACCATGCGAGGTGAAGTGTAAACTTACATTTTGTTGTCAAAACTTGAGCAGTTCAACATATGTTCAGAGTAGTAGTTAGGAACAAATCTATAAATCTTTTTCGTGACTATAGTCGTGTAATCTATACAATCCAACATTTGAATGGGATTTGCAAAGCTGCAAATAAGGAGATTACTTTTTAGAATACATGTGATTGTTTATTTTTCAAGGTGTATCGTTTTTTTTCCATAGTTGCTGTTCTTTTCAGATAGTAAAGATAGATAGATTATTATTTCTCAGAAACTGAAATACCACGACACCCACGCATTAACCTTACAAGTCAACTATTTCATTATAATGTTTTTTTCACAGGTGGGAATTGTGTGCAAACAAACCTGTTCAGTTGTTTCTCTGGAATACAGTTTATGTTTTAGTTCACTTTATTTGAAAAACCTGAAAATCTGGTAAAAAAATCACGTCATGCCTACCTTACCGTTTTTTTTTCTTTGAGTTCTATATTTAATGTACAAAACAAGTGACAGGAAGATACATTACAGCACCTCCTGTTTTTGCTGTTTAAAATAAGCTCTGCTGTTCAGCCCCATGTTAGTCTCATCGCTAGGTGTGTGTAGGCTCCTCTAAATGTAAGACTCTCTCCTTGGAGTGGCAGGAGTTTCTTATAGCATGTTCTCTACATTTGTGCAATCATGCAACATTATCAGGTAATTATCAGGTCATTGCAATCATGCTCACTTTTAACCCTTAGATGCACGAGTGACTGGACCCTACACCCTTCCATAAGTGGGTCTAAAAGGACCCGTATTAGAATAATATGTGTTTTTATGCTATTTTTGTCATTTTGGTTAAGAAAAATCACTTGTATACTATTTAGTATTATATTTTGGTATACACTAGAAATATTTTATATTACATTTGTCACTATTTATAATTTTAGACTTTTTTTTTTACATTTTGAAAAAATAACGAAATTCCATAGAAAATGCATGCGGATCATTTTTGGAAGCTTGGGGTAGTAATAAAAAAACTACAATTTCTTAAAAAGTATCAAATGTAAATTTAATTTAAATTTGAATGGCATGATATCCAAAACATGTTTTTTGAGGAATAGCTGGAATATGAAATGATAAAAAAATGTAATTACAAAGATACTCTAAGAAAACCACCTCACCGGGTCCAAAAAGACCCATTTATGCATCTAAGGGTTAAGACACTTAATCCGATGACTTCATTCATTCTCGCTGAGATATAGGGTTCTCAGCTGGTGGGGTTTTGAGAAAAATCTAAATATTCATGTACTGTATAGCTGCTGATTCCGCCATTCAATCTAGATACAACAACAATAATAAATGAATACATCCATGTGTAGGCAGTTGTCAACGCAGACCAGTTGGATTGTGAAGTGTTATTCAATAAATACTTCTTCTTTGCTTCTTCTACACAACATATTGAGTAGAATATTCACGTTTTTGTGCGACCACAAACAACAAAGTTCAGGCTGAACATCTGGTCAGGGACATTTGCTGCATGTCGCTATTCCTATTATCCACTATTCCTGTCTTCTCTCTACTTTCATGTGTCTCATAAAGGCATACAATGTCTAAAAAATGTTTGCCTTTTATGAAGCATCATTACAAATGTATTTGAACAAGACAAATTATCTGGTTATGATTATTA